AATAAAATTTATAAAAAAAAAATTTAAAAAAAAAATTGTTAGTTAAGTTATAACTGGCCATGGAAGGGATAGGGGAGTCACGTATTTCTTCTGTACACATAGATTGGGGTTATATGTACGAATTCCAATGGCTTCAGCTATATATAGGAGACGGGAACGGACTCCGTCGGGAAATGATGGGGGTATACGATAGATAACTCGAAATGATTTCGATTTCTCTACTGCATGACCGCTATCAATAAGATGTGCTAGTATAGAACTGCGAATAGTTTTTCTCTGACCCTTTATGTACCAAGTTGGTAGATGTTCACTCATTCGTTGGTTAAGTTGCCTGGTAGTACGCCCTATATAGCTATCTCCACAGGAGCAGCTGAATTTGTAAATGCACATGGAAGAGGCCAACTCAGGTAACTTATCCTTCGTTTGAGTAGACATCGCTGGTCGACAAGAGAAGGTCAACGCAAGATTGGCTGCGTAAAATGTCTTGGTGATTACTTTGGTTAACCTATATTTCAGAGTGTCACTAGCCACATCCCCGTTGAATTGCACTTTCATGTATAAAGGTTTCTTACGAACAGTCGAAATCTCCGACTTCTTTATTATATCCTGCATGTATTTCTTGATGAACACGCTGGGGTAGCCGATCTCGGTCAGTGAGTTGTTGAGAAATTCAAGCTCCTGACTTAGAGTGTCTACTGTACAGATCTTTTTTGCTCTGCTCGTGAGACATCTGACCAAATTTCTCTTGTACCGGATGGGTGTGAAACTGCAGAAGTGAGTATATTGGCATGAAGAGGGGTTTCTTCTATACACGCTTCTACTTAATGTGCCGTCACTTCGTCTGCTTAGCGTGACGTCAAGGAAGCTCATCTTCTTATCATGCTCGCTTTCACCAGTGAAGGTGATCGCTGGGTGAACACTGTTGAATTGGTCTAGGAGTTCCTCTTTACTAGTGTTTTGGTCTACGATAATGAATGTGTCGTCAATGTATCGGCAATATAAATCGAGTTTCTTAATAGTCTCATTGAGAGGTCCGTTTTCTAGCTTTGCTAGGAAGAGGTCAGCTAAAATCGGGCCTAGAGGCGAGCCCATGGCTATCCCGTCTATTTGTCTATAGTAAGTATTGTTGAAGACAAAATGTACATTCAGAGTGCATCTTAGGAGCAGTTCCCTTAGGCTATCGTTAGGCAGGCCAATGTTGATTTGTTTCTTTGATATTTGCTTGCATATAAAATCAATAGTCTCTATAAGTGGTACGTTGGTGAACAAAGATTCTACATCCAATGAGATCATATTTTTCATGCTGACATTAATATTTTCTACTTTGGAGATGAAGTTGAAGACATCTTTTACACTATTTCTAACAACTGATTTGTGTAAAGGTTCTAGGGTTCGTACTAGCCACTTTGCGATTTTGTGGTAAGGAGAATTGTACATATCTAGAACTGGGCGTAGAGGAAGACCCGATTTATGTACTTTAGGCAAACCATACAATCGTGGTGTAAATGATCCAGTCGGCTTAATTGAATCGTAAATCTCAGTAGTAATTATTCCCTTTTTCGTTAGATGCTTAAGGAAATTGGCCAATTGTCTTTCTACTTTACTATTGATGTCACAATTACTAGTAATTTTCTGAAATTTGCTAGAATCGCTAAGCATTGTTTCCATTTTACCCAGGTAATCTTTTTTGTTCATGAGAACTATACCTCCTCCTTTATCTGGTTTGGTTATGGTCAGGGTTTCATCTTTTCTTAGTTTCATTAAAGAGTCACGGTGCTGCTTGGTTAGTAGGTGATTTGTGGTACCCTTACTATTCTTGTATTGTTGGCAGCTATCAACTAGTGTGGTTTTAAACCGAGCAAGGTCATCCAATGAGGTAGGAATCAAGTCAGTTGTTTGTGAAAACAAATTCTCAAATTGTACATCAGTATCTAATTGGTTGATTCTATGTCTACTATCACAGAATTTAGGTCCCAGAGATAGAACCGCTAGTTACCCGATTACTTGTTCTGATTTCGACGGGAAAGGGCGCGTGTCTAAAACCCCCTGTCGGCTATTCTTCAACATCCAAACCGTAGTTTGGATCCTACAGTACTGTGTTTCAAACCACGTTTAATATCTTGAACAGTCTTCTGCAGATTAGATCGGGAGTTCGGTGCAATAAATCACCGCAAACGAGGACCTGATGAACTATGTCGTGTGACTTTAGTTGACCTGTGATTATTCTTACAAAAAAGTCAGAAGGTGCAAACCAAACAAGGCACGAGACTTAAATCAAGTTGGTTAGATTGTCTGATATCTCATCAAAATACTGAGAACACTAATGTTTGAGCCCAACCCTTGTACAATCAATGGAGTCTTTGAGCACATGTCAACTAAGGCTAATCCAAACACATCCGTCCCTCTCAAACTTCCACAAGTAAAATGGTGAGCATTTGGATAAAAATATTTTACCATGACATCTATTACAACACAATGTCAGGACTGGGTCCATGTTAGCTATTAATGAATTTCATTGAGACTTTGAAGTAACCTGAAGGTCTCGGAGTTAGGCATCCGAGCGCAAAATAGAAAGTTCAGGGTTCGAGGTCCCGTGGAAGTTGATGATCATTACTGGATGGTAGAATCAAGTACTATTGATCTTCCATATATAGCCATCAGTGGTCTTTAACTTTGCATTAACCATTCAATACCCATCAGTCAATATCGAAACTTAGAAATCACATAGCTCTGTTTGATTGTTATACATTGCCTCTGAATTTATATGGTGCTAAACAATGGAATTCTTGATTGCACAGTTTATAAGTGCTAGCAGCTAAGTGTGCGGAAGATACACAAGGTTTAATGAAGTCAGGTGTACAGGTGATTGAGTATCTGTAGCTTATCAGCGTCCGATACAAATGATTCGATCAGCATTGTTACCGATTACCTAAAAAATTATTTATTTTAAGGAATTACGCACCAAAACAGTAACTTTGTGATCTTTGTGATGATCCTAACCGACTGTGGTGCTCGTGATTGACATGATCATTATGACACAGAAAACAACTCAACAAGTTCTCGTATGCTTGCGTATAATACTGTATTATAACTGTATCAATAACACAGGCAATTTTTGAGTTATCGCAGTGTACTCAAATTTCTGAACAAGTTATCGGGGTCGATGCAACGAACCTTCGAGATACCAACCGGTGGCTCTTCTCTCTATACCTTCAAGAATTATGGAGTCCCTGATATGTAAATGTATACACGACTACTTATTATCCGTAAGCTTCTTTTCACTCCAACAGCACGGTTTCAGAAAGGGTATTTCTTGTATAACCAACCTGCTTACTGCTGTGGACAGATGGACAACCATCCCTGACCGAAGCGGGAAGGTTGAGATCATCTACCTTGACTTCTCAAAAGCTTTTGATAGTCAACCATACATGTCTTATCAATAAGCTCAAACGATTAGGTATCAAATCACCTTTAATGGATTGGCTGACTTTATATAGAAAAACTCGATATGTTAAGGTCAAATATAACTTCAATTTCTCTCAGGCAATGAAATGTCTTGGTGGGATCTTCCAGGGTTCACTATTAGGACCTCTTCTTCTCTTGATTTATATAAACGGTCTTCCACAACAAGTATAGTCTGGCTAACGGTGTGAAACTTTGGAGAGAGAGAGAGATGTGCAATCAAGAGGGTATACTGGCACTTCAGAAGAATCTGACTCGATTTCAATGTTGAGCAGATGACAACGAACTAACCTGTAACACTTCGAAGTGTAGATTGGTTGATATAAGACATGTTGCAGATTATGGTTACAACTTTGGCGACTCCCCTGTAGAAGTATTACAAGTTGAAGACGATTCAGGAGCACTGGTTCCCTACGATTTGAAGTCTTACGCTAACTGTGACAAAGGTGCCTTTCGAGCAAACTTTTCACTGATAATATTGAAGCGCATTTTTGCTAGTTTTGAGGGAGAACCTTCCATATAATCTTCAACAGTTTCATCCGTCCTCATTTAAAGTACGGAAACATAGTATATCCTCCTTCACTTCGAAAGGATAGGGACATGTATCCAATGGCGAGCCACGATATCAGTTCTGGGACTCAACTTCAAGCCTTACTAAGAGCGCCTCCAGTCACTAACGTTTACCCACTTGTAGTGTGGAGTCGAGTCGCGGTTGACCATGATCACCACTACAAGAAGACTACGTGCCAGTTAACCGATAAGATTCTTCGTAGGCCAAATATCAGAAGGCAGTTGATGGCTGTAGTCAAATATTTATTTGTTGGCGATCTCGTGGTATCGAAAGAATACCGAGATCATGCCAAAGGAGTACAAGTGTGGTTACTGAGCGTTACCGAACTCGTGCAAGGTCGCAATCAACGGAAGAATGTCTTTTGTACAGCTAAACAAACAAGTACAGTAAAACAATCCCTGGTACAGTTGGTTGTAATAATAATTGTTTCATTACAGCAATCGCGTTCTCTTGATAAAAGCAGGTCACTACACACTAGAGTACAGGCGACTTAGAGGTGACTTTTTAATGGCTTGCAGCGTCCTTAACACTTCCGGACATTCCCTCAAACACCTACTTAAGTTTAGCCCCAACACCAACCAAAGGGGTAACACCCAGAAACTGGGGACATTACACGTGAGAACGGTCTGTAGACACAACTTCTACTCCTCAAGAGTAGTCAAATGCCGGAATTCGCTGCCGGCTGAGCTAGTTCCAGAGAATTCCCAGGAGTCCTTTGAGAGAGAACCTGACATATTTTTAAGGTCTAATGATAGTGTTTTACTATGATTTACCGATTTCTTTTTCCTCGATTATCGTTAATATACCTAGGTTTATGCCTGGAGGTATTGATGGTCCACTGCTACAAGACATGGGAGCTTGTTAAGCGAAAGCTTCTTCTATTCCGTTCACAACCATTCACAAAATTTGAAGTAGCGTCAAATACACTTTTGGTTGACTAATCGATTTCAGTCAGAAGGTCGTACACAAAGAGGTAGGTCTGGAATCCGTTTGACCTTGGTACATCCTTCAATTAACATAAGCGTTTTACAGATTCCTGTGTAATGTGCTTACTAATTTTATATCTGGAGTATAATGGAAGGATACAGATCTTCAGCCTATTTAGTTTTACTTTTTTGATTAAAACTATCTGAAGTGGAGTTATCAAATCTGCTCAATTTTGTTTACTTTTGTGAACTGAGCGATTTAGTGGAGTTAGGTAAATGATTATTTAGTAAAACATATGAAAAATGCGACCAGGTAGATGAAAATTAGGGGAGATTTTTTCTCATGTCACATGATCTTCATTATGTTGAATCTGTGTTTCCACACTATTTTCGTCGGAAAATTAAGGTAAGGACGAACGTAAATGACTTTCAAAATATCTCTTAGAAGCGCCGGGTTCTGTTCAGTTTATCAAAAAAACAATAAGAATAAGCGAAAAATCCATATCGCTTCATTGCATAGTTTTTGATATACATACTATTTTCTTATTATTAATACACTTCTCATAATTGTTCGTACGTGTTGTCCTGCGTCCAAGTAGCATACTATAGGGTTAGAGTTTATGATATAGTCTTATTAGAAATAGAGCGCAGGATTACGATATGTGAGCTAACTATAATACCGATCGTAGCTCTTGATCCTGATTCCAACCTCTTATTGCTTAGATGTTAACTCTCAATTTTCATCCTTAGGCCTTAATTTTAACCGTGAACTAATCATAATTGCACTGCTAAAGCGTTAGTATATAGTGCTACTGGAATGAAAATCATCTGCTAAAGGGGTTTGTTAGACATGTTTTTAATATCTGCCTTAAAGTAGTTATTTTAGTCAGTAATTGTATCTTATTTTGCGGTTAATAGGTTATCTGTGTGGGTGTACTTCCATTTTTAACCATTAGATCAATAGCACATGCGTTAATTTTGTATGTCTTCGTCCCTCAATACTTCATTTTTCGATTATGATAAAGCGTGATATTATCCCTATGGTTTCATGAAGGCTACATCCAAGTATTTTCTCCCTAAACGTTTTGTGGTGTGACTATAATTTATGGACGACCTTTGAGCGACGCTAGACTGATCTTTAGAGTGTCCACTTAATAACCATGACGAAATGATGGTTATAAACGTGTATGAAGAATTATAAATATAATTTACATTTGATGATTAAAATTAGGAATTAGATTTCGTGATTTCATCATGAACTGACATCAACTATGATGCCAAAACTCTATTTATCCAAATGGATGAGTGAATTTTGCGCGAAAAGCCGAGACCTGTTATCTTATAAGTGATTGGTTCGTCCGTAAATTGTAGTGTCGCCTGTTTTATAAACTGAGCAAGGTTTACCACATGTTGTTATTTTGTTTCGTAAGAGGAACTAAATCCATGTACCGGGCCCTAATACATATGTAAGTACTAGCACCTTTACGTGGTTAGCCAGACCGGATTAGGTGCAGCTAGATTGATTAAAATTCTGGTTATTTGGTTACTGTGGTACAACCTTTGTAACTACAGTACTTAAAATTCCCATGATGTTTATATTTCAAACGAGCTACATACTAATTACCTTATAACCCTTAACTTAAGTTGAAAAGGTTTTAACTCTAAGACCTTTGTTTTTTTCAGGTTGTTGCACAGCTGTTGCTTGAGGTTGTGCAATACATTTTCAAACTTTCTTTATGTGTAAATTATAAAGTTAATGTCGTCATCTCGAGCTGCCTCTGCTATTAAAGAAGTAATCAACTTCAAAAATGCTAAGAGGACGTCTTTCTTCCTCATGATAATGATATCAATATATCATGGCTTTCTGATGACAAAATCTGGTATTTCTCTAGAAGTGTTTTTAATTTTAGGTGGTAATTTGTGCAAATCTCTACTGAGTGATGGAAGATCAGGGCCTGGTGGAGAATTTCGGCCCTACAGTTGTATGATACATACTTACTCATCAAGGTAGTGTTTTATTCCTTATAATTTTTGCAATAATAAGAGACAGTCATAAATGTTTTAAAAGACTTGCGCCTTGGGGTGATGTGGTCCGACTCTATTTTGTTGGAGATTCACGACTTAAAAAGCTATTTAATGCTTTTGTTTATCACATAAATGATGAAATTGTTGAAGAAAATACTACATCAGAAGCAAGCATTTCAAATAACTTTCAGTATGTTGCGGGAGAAGTCGACTTAGTAAGTGATCTTCAACAAGCTTTCTCGCATGCTTTGTTCGCATCTTTGATTTAGTAATCTTTCTTCGTTTATTTAATCCGTTTATACAATATATTTGTGCTACTGTAAATTGCTATTAATAAGAGCCGCAAAACTGCTCAAAAAAGATTAAGTTTTTTATAAGCGACTATTTAAGCAGTATAGCTGTCAAGTGATATTTTGTTACGGGTCTTTTAATCACAGTCAGTCTCATTTTGTCTACTGTTCGCTACTCTGTGATACTTTTGGATTCACTGTTGAGATTTCAGCCCAGTTTTAAAACATTCGGGTAGTGAGAGTAATGCTGAATCAATAGCATAGTTTAATTTTATGAAGTTAGTGGGTTATGTTAGAAGCCTTTAAAATTCTATTCTTGAACATTCATGATTGTGCTTCTACCTGCTCATTACTATATATTTTATTTTATTTCCTCTTAGCTTAGTACACCACCCCTGGTCATGTCTTACTACTACTACTACACTGTTATGAAATTTATCAGATTTAACTATACATTGGGATAGATTTTGTTCAAATTAAGCCTTAACGAGTAGAAGACGTATAATTCAAACAACTAAATTTTGTTATACTTGACATGTGGCTAGCAGTAGAATTTGTGACTCCCATTTCGTCCTGCCTGGGATTTGTAATCTGTATTTAACTAGATAGTACTATTGATTTTTACACAAATTGTAACACAGGTACAAATATAGCTAAACTTGAGACTAAAAGGCACGTCGAGACATTCCTCTCACGATGTCCACCATGTGCACGATTGGTTTGGAATCAGGGATTTCCAACTCCCTTAAGTGGATCCTCCATACCCACCAACCCGGTCAAAGCGCCGAACATTTGCTGTATTTTCTCTCAATTTCGTAAAGGACACCCCTACCTCGAGAAGGCAGCGAGTGAGACCTCTCTTGAGGTAGCTGTGTACGCGTGGCCATTTAAGAGCATTTCGAGTGGGAGAGCTAACTCTCCCCACCCTCGGTCGTACCAGTGCATTTGGGGCACTTCTTAATAGTAGAAACAATATAGAAGTGTCTTCCAATTTCGTATTTTCGTTAGGGTAAGATGCTCAATTATCGTGAATCTTCATTCTGTTTGAAGCCATTAATCTGCGATTATCTGTTGTTAACTTTTAACCATTATGGTAATTGTTTCGAATCTTTACATAATAAGTTTAAATCAATCTAGTAAACGAAACGATACATGTTTACTTAGGTTATTACTTTGCCTTTTTATGCAATTTAGCTACATTTATTATTACTGATATTATCGTCATTTTTAATTTTATTTCTCTAGCGATTTTTCTATCATGATGAAATTACAGATGATACACTAGAACTAGTCAAGTCATGGATCGGCTCTACAAATTTATCCAATATTACTGAGTCTAATATACGAAACAAAAATAATGACATTTCTACACCTACTCACTTGATAATCTCTATGGGCACAGTGAGTACAGTCTTTCTATAAACGATTTTTCACCTGTTTTGTATCAATATGTTTTTTCCCAACTGATTTACCAGGTCATCGCTAGTTTATATACTTGGTCTTGAGTTGTACATTTCCGCTTGTAAGAGGTAACGATATGGTCTGATTGGCTAAGTAGGTGAATAAGCGGGATTTCGATTTATGACCTAATTGTTAGTCATTAGATTATCTATGCACTTTACTTCACCACATGGTGAATTGAATCCCATTTTGTAAGCGAAGTAAACACTAGTTCATCCATTATGATGTTAGTTATAATTTTCGTATCGAATTAATACACAGCTATCCACATCAAAATAGGCTGTTAGGAGTGTGGTCATATAATTAATAAAGTATACCTTCACAGCCTAACTTTTACATGCTATATATTTGGTCACATAATTTGTTCTTATATAAATAAAATCAATGTTATAGCATTTTTGTAACAATGATTATCACAGAAATAAATCATTGTGTTGCTCACTTGGCTATTCACATTACCTTACATATGTTTATTATTTGCTCTCATTGGCAGAAAACAATACAACATTATAATAGATCCGAAGATGGTCTTTTAGAATATATGAGTAAGTGTTTTCTTTCATATGGATCGATAATTTCTCTTCAGATAAATTTTAATTACAACATGAAAGGATGTCAACTGAAGGATAAGTGAAAACCAAGCAGAACTAGGCAGACGTCTTGTTTTACTGTGAGACTTCTCGACGGTACATAACTACGACTCTACACAGGGTTGAACCCAGCAGGTTCATTTAGCCTGGTGAGCTCAAAGCTCTTACACATATGCTACGTTTGAAGAGATTGAGGTATTACTTAAACCGGCAAACGGAACGAAAGTCAGCAACACAACAAGCTAAACTAATCTACTGTGCTCCAGCCCTCTTAACTAGATTAAGACCACGTTCAGTCGAGGGAATTGTATATTCCACAAGCATCCCACAGGCACGAACAAACAAGCACACAACTTATGGGTATATGTACAGCTCAAAAATATCGTCGAAAAACGTCACGAAATAGTGTACTAATACAGGAAGCGAACCATTGACATTTAAGGTTCTTCCAAGTGGGAAATACAAACTGAAGGTAAAAGTGGGCGTTTTGGTGCGAAAATGAGGAATTCACATTTCCAAAATAGAAAATACGAAAATAAGACGCTTACCAAGTGATTTTTCCCTACCGTTGTTGCTACCTTGACGTGGTGGTCGGGCTTGCCTATCGTGATGAAGCAACCGAGCTATACTGGCTGGAACAACCGTTCCTCAAGGTCCTACCATGTCAGACAGGTTGGTTGAAGAGGGGTAAGACTAAAAGCAACAAACCCAAGGTTCGAAGGCGAAGTCACACTGCTGACTGTACAGAGGTGTGACGGCAGTAAGGTGTTTCCTCCAGACAACCAGTATAACAGCGATGCTGCCTTCCCACAAGGAGGGGTGGGGTTAGAAAAGGTCGACCCTAAAAATGCGCACCTCACCTTACCTCACGGATTTCCGTCTCCGGCGGTAAGGCCCTTTGAAGAACGGAGCTAACACGTCAAAAACCTTCCACAAAAAGGTCGTGTGTGACCGGCCTCAAGCAGTTGCCCCTTGGGCACTGCGGTCACGCTCTCAGGTCACTGAGACCGCCTCTAATCCAATTTCCTTTTCAGGTACCTCCAGAAGAACCCTTCCACGGTGTGGGCAACCGGGAAGTGATAACCGTCCTCATACCTCTAACAGCACCCAAGACCACTGTATTCATAATCAACCTTCCTCTTCAATTCCTATTATTCCTCCTACATCGACTTTCAACCCTAAACTTCCTCCTTCGGCTTCCTCCTCAAGTGTCACCATAGCCAACGATTCTAGTGCTCAAAACTCTGTCCCAGGTCTACTGAAACCTCGCTCCAAACTACACATTGGAGCTTTCAACGTACGCACTCTATGTCAAATCGGTCAGCAGGCTTCCTTGGCTAAAACCCTAGAGTCTCTTTCCATTGATGTATGCTGTGTCTCCGAAACACGCATACAGGATTCCAGTGTGGTCATTCACTTGACCTCACCTCGGCAAAACGGAGAGCCAACGAGATACACCCTACGTGTATCTGGTGACCCGATGGCCAGTTCTCGTGGACTGGCAGGTGTAGGCATAGCACTAAGCATGAGGGCGGAACAAGCACTGCTAGAGTGGATCCCCGTCAACAGTCGCTTATGTGCTGTTCGGCTAAACGGCTCCGTAAAACTCGGAAGGATAGGGACACACGTCGTTGCCTTTTCGTCGTTTCTGCCTACGCTCCCACTGACTGCAGCTCAGATGATGTGAAAGATGAATTTTACAGAAAGCTGTCCGAACTTCTTCAGAAAGCTAAACGCTCAGACATAGTACTCGTAGGGGGTGACTTTAATGCTCAGATAGGTAGCTTAAACCAAACAGAAAGGCATTTAGGTGGATATTTCAGTGTTCCGGCACAGCGAACAGATAATGGTGACCGTCTGCTGCAACTGTGCTCAGACAATCGCTTATTTTTAGCAAACACAAATTTTAAGCATAAGGAGAGACATCGTCTAACGTGGCGACCGCCTGCACCAAACCAACGATGGACTCAAATAGACCATATTGCCATCAGTCATCGTTGGAGAGGGTCGGTAGAAGATTGTCGCTCATTCTGGAGTACCTGCTTGGACTCCGACCACGCCCTAATACGGGCACGCATCTGCTTGCGCCTCACTGGACGCAAAAAAGCCACAGTAAAAAGACCCATTAGAACCGAACTGAGTAGCGAGGAAACCAAAAGTAGGTTCCAGGAACAACTGAGGTCACGATTAGGTAGTTCTGAAGACGAGGCTGACCCAGATGTTGCTTGGAAAGATATACAAGCAGCTGTGGAAGCAGCAGTGACATCTATTAACACTTAAACCACAGAGTTTCGAAGAACCAGTGGATTTCTTCAAAGTCTATCACACTGATGGATTCTCGCAAACTCGTCCCATCAGGTTCCGAACATGATGAAGAGCGACAACAAATCAGATCTAGGTTAAGAAAAAGTCTAAGAAACGACCGTGAGCAGTGGTGGGCAACGAAAGCAAAAGAGATGGAAAAGGCGGCGACTATAGGGAACACAAGACAGCTTTACAGACTAATAAAAGAAACTGGAATTAATAAGTCAAGTGTAAGTGAGATTATATCGGAAAAAGACGATACACTCATCTGCTCCCAGTCCAGGCGTTTAGAACGATGGGCGGAACATTTCAGAGAACAGTTCAGCTGGCCTTCAGCTACTCTACAACTACCCTCCATTCCCAGACAGTGTGAATGGAACATTGAAGTAGGTCCCCCAACTCTTGCTGAAGTTCAAAAGGCTATAGTTAATCTAAAACGAGGAAGGGCAGCTGGTCCAGATGGATTGGCTCCAGAGGTCTTTAAGGATGGTGGTCCAATTTTATCGATTAGGTTGACTAATATTTTAGCTAAAATCTGGGAGTTAGACGTTATTCCATCTAACTGGTCACAGTCACTTATCGTCCCAATATATAAGAAAGGGTCAAAATCATCCTGTGACAACCACAGAGGGATTAGTCTAACTAATATAATATCTAAAATACTAGCCTCGATAATTATCAGACGCCTAACTAAGACTCGTGAACTCCAAACACGAGAGAACCAAGCTGGCTTTAGACCTGGTCGTGGCTGCATCGACCACATATTCACCATTCGTCAGGTTCTAGAACACAGACATACTTATCGGCGTCCGACAATGGTGGTCTTTCTTGACTTAAAAGCAGCATTTGATTCGGTAGACCGCGAGATTCTGTGGCAGTGTCTGTCATTGAAAGGCGTACCCCAGAAGTACATAAACCTTGTGAAGGCTCTTTACTCGAACACTACTAGTCGAGTCAGAGATTATGGCGAACTGTCATCTACTTCTGCAACCTCAAGTGGTGTCCGTCAAGGCTGTCCACTTTCCCCATTTTTGTTTAACTTCATCATAGATCTACTGATGGAAATAACTTTCTCGTCGACTGAGTTCTCGGGTATTGATCTCCTACCAGGAGGTCCACTTATCGACTTAGAATACGCAGATGATATAGTCCTGTTTGGTGAAGACGCTGACAAAATGCAGAGTCTTCTGGTAGCACTGAGCAACAATGCCAGAATGTTTGGAATGCGCTTCTCTCCCTCTAAATGCAAGTTGTTGCTTCAGGACTGGTCTGCGTCAACACCTGAACTAAGGATAGGGAGTGAAGTAGTCGAACGCGTTGACAACTTCACTTATCTTGGAAGTCTGATCAGCCCTAATGGGTTGGTATCGGACGAAATCTCAGCACGGATTCGAAAAGCTCGATTGGCTTTTGCCAACTTGCGCCACCTATGGCGAAGGTGAGGTATCCGTCTATCAATAAAAGGACGGGTATACTGCGCGGCAGTCCGTTCTGTTTTACTTTACGGCAGCGAAACATGGCCTTTAAGAGTAGAAGACACTCGTAAGCTACTAGTATTTGACCACAGATGCCTTAGAAATATTGCTGGCGTCTGCTGGGATCACCGGGTAAGTAATAGTGAGGTTAGACGCAGGGTATTAGGGAATGATGGTAAATCAGTTGATGAGGTTATGAATCTTCATCGACTGAGATGGTTGGGCCACGTGTTACGTATGCCTGAATACCGATTACCACGACGTGCAATGCTATCCGGTATTGGAGATGGTTGGAAGAAAGTTAGGGGCGGCCAAACCAAAACGTGGCATCAGTGCTTGAAGTCACTAACTTCTAGTGTGAGCCATGTTGGTAGATGCAGACTACTTGGTTGGGGTCCGCGTGACTATCGTAACCAATGGTTGGAGACTCTTGGTGACATGGCTCAGAATCGATCACAATGGCGTCGGTGTATACACTCCCTGTCTTCCCTTAAACTAAGAGATTAAAATCGCTTCATATCTTTCTTTCTACGAACCAATTCTTTCTTCTTGTACTATATCTCTATATGCAATCTTTCTCTTACATATTACTATTTTTGACCTAACCACTGCTATGAATCCGGTGTTCATCTTGTTGTGCTGATGCGGTATGGCAACCTGGACCGATGCACATATGTGCCTGGTCCTACGTTGTAGCTGACTGACTGACTGACTGAAGTGATTTCTGAAGACCTAGCATTCCCAAAAAGATCTCACCGACTCTTAATAGACTGGTTTAACACCTGTGTTGTCTTATTTAGTGTTCGTCAGATGGATATAGTCCCACCTCCATGTTGTTGTTCACTCCAGGACTCCGATCCACCACTTTTCGCGTCGAATGCCAAGCTCTTTATCCACTGAACTACTAAGCCCGAATAGCTACTCACCTGTGCAACGGGTATAATATTTATTTCATTATTAGAAGGGATTTGGAACATTCCATTGCTGATTTTGTTGAATGAATTTTAATCAGGCACACCCAGCCGTCTAGTTCCAAATAGGACAAAACACAAGTCACAAGTTCACAAGAACTTGTTAAAAGTGGTTATATCGACGCAATCCTCAAAGGATGCACAATTACCAACCAAGACTGCTAAAAATCAACTCACCAATATGAACAATGAAATAAGAGTTTTAGTTGTCACAAAACCCCGACCGTTGCTTATGTCTTGATGTGGTAGACAGGCTTACCTATCACAATGAACCAATCGAGTTATGCTGGCTGGAGCAATCGTTCCTCAAGGTCCTACCATGCCAGACAGGGCGGTTGAAGAGGGGTAAGACTAAAAGCAGCAAACCCAAGGTCCGAAGGCGAAGTCACACTGCTGACTGTACAGAGGTGTGACGGCAGTAAGGTGTTTCCTCCAGACAACCAGTATAACAGCGATGCTGTCTTCTCACAAAGAGAGGCGTGGTTAGAAAAGGTCGACCCTAAAAATGCACACCTTGCCTTATCCCACGGATTTCCGTCTCCGGTGGTAAGGTACCAACAAGTACGGAGCTAACGAGAAAACTACTCACAAAAAGGTCGTGTGTGACTGGCCTCAAGTAGTTGTCCCTTGGGCACTGCGGTCACGCTCTCGGGTCACTAAGACCATCCCTAACCCAATTTCCTTTTCAGATACCTCCAGTAGAACCCTTTCACGGTTTGGGCAACTGGGAAGTGATAAGTGCTCTCATACCTCTAACAGCACTCAAGATCACTGTCACAAAACCATTGTGATTTTGGTTTTCTATCTCCTGAAAGTGAAACAGTGATCATCATCTTACCAAACTAATGTCTCAATAATCTACTATTCATATGACTTAAAACTCTTAACGTTCATTGACAAATACTTTTAAGATATAATTTGCGTGCTATAAATGTTTTAGTGTCTAGAAGATGAAGAAATTATATGTATTCATTTTATTCACACCAATAAAATGAAATCATTTTTAATCTGTTAAATTTATTTTATTTCTTTTTGACGTTTAGACGGTGTTAAACGTCTTACTAGTGTTTTAGAAGAATTGAAATTCGCACGGTGCGTATGGATGCTACAAGGTAAATTAATGGGCAATTTCGCTTTTCCTTCTATCTCTTTCCCACGGCCACCCTCTTTTTCTCCATTTTTATAGTTAACACTTTCTTGATTGTTGCACAATGGCGACTTAGTAGTTGAAATATCTAATTTTCGGATCACCTTACAACGCCTACCTTCCTTTTTTTGGACATTAGAGTAGTAACGACACTAAATCTTCACACCAAAACGTGTAACTCATAGTGAAATACTTTAATTTATACTCAATTATTGATTTTGGTTCGAGTAATTCATTATCTGTTTATATCTCTCTTTCGTCATTCATTTAAACAAATGTTTTTGGATGAAAACTTGGATTAAATATTATTTATGAATTAGTCTATTATCAATTGATCAAACTAGAAAGTCGTAATATAATTAGCCATTTTATATTCATTTGTTTTCTTGAAAGTTTGACATGACACACCGATTTCAGTTAGATAATCGTTAAAAAAACCAGGCAACAAGTCTACATCTACGGATTAGTAATCTTGGAGATTTTATTTCACTTAATCTTTCTCAAAATCAAAACAAGAAAAGTTAATTAGTTACACATAAATTTATGAATAAAGTAATTTTCACTGAGTACAAATTACAATACATTAATACTAATGAAAATAAATCTATATTTTTGAGAATACATTGGTTGTTCATGAATGTAGTTCACTTAAAATCAGTTTGTCAATTCTAAAACTGATTCCTTTATGAAATTAATATATGGAAATGTTATATATTCAACACTAATGAAAAGATCCAACCCTATAATGATAATTATCATATGCTCACTAGTGACTAACTTCGAGAGGTAATTCTCAAAGTTCTAGTGAGAAACCGTAACCAGTGGAGCTAGTCCATGTGAGGCAATTACTCATCGAAGACAATGGAAGATGATCACGCAATTACGTGGATTGGTTGAAGTTAGATATTACCACCGTTGGATGCCGGATCAGTAGTCTAGGGGTTAAGCGTTCGCGTGCGAGACCGAAGGTCCTGTGTTCGAGTCTCGTATGAGTGATCGTAGATGCGTACCTCTGAGAAGTCCCACACTAGGACGAAACGGTCGTCTAATGCTTCCAAATTTTCAATGGTGGTCCAACATTGATCGGTTTATGGTTTCAATTAAATTTCATAAATCCTTATAATTACATATCTATCTTGTTTTTACAAAATTACTTAATCCATTATTCAGTCAATAGACTATATATTTTAAGCCGTGACGAATGCAAATACAAACAAATAAATAAATCAAACAGATCTTTACAATAAAAATTATCTATCAAAATAGCATAAACAATTGTTTTTATTGGTAAGGGTTTGTAATCTTCGATTTTTGTTGTTAAGGTCAACAATTAACCAGTTTCTGTTGCCATTTCTTCTAGCAGAGCAGATCACCTTAATATTACCATTTAGTCACAACCTCTAGTAAAGTTAAATTGTGTCAGGCAGTGCATTCCATGACACGCGTTCTCTCTTATTTGAGGCTTGTTAGCTAGACGTGCTTTCGTCTCACTATCATCTAACACAATGCGCCACGGATAACTTTTATTAATCTAGCCAAAGCTTTTGACTCTATCCCAAAAGATCTAATAGCACAAACACTGGACAAATTGGTACTGAGAAAACGTTCAGAAATGCATAGCGAAATTTCTAGACGGATCAACAGGACACATAAAGGGAACTAATTCCTATTTTTTAATGCATAGAGTTTTCAGACAAAGTAACGTGGCCCCATTCGTCTTTCATCGCATATTTCCATGAAATCTTTAGTACACAGACGAAATCACGTTATACCAGATACAAGATTCACAGCCAAAATACAGAATCAGAGTATAAATGGGATAATACTCCATTCAACACGATTAAAAGCGGTTTACACTCAGTGAGTTCACAGTAGAAGTCAATAATAGGAAAAGAAATCACTTATTTACTAGTCAGCTGATTGTCTGTTTACCCACTATCTGCAGCCAATCACATTTACTTTCACCAAATACACATCACTTACATATTCCTTCCGAAACATTTATCACCAACATAAAACATTGACATTAACAACCAATGGTTTTGTAAACCTGAGCATTTTTTAATTAGAAATTATTGTGTATTGCTAATAATTCATTTATGTTATCAAATTCATTTCATTTTACTGACCAGCATAGAATCATGTCTTAGTTTTTTATCAGTCGGTTTTTAGCACTTGGCTTTATTTTCTCCATTCTGCAGACCCTGTTGCAGAAAGTCTTTTATCTAAAGAGTTGAAAATAATTACAAATGATTTGATCGATAAATATAATGAATTTGCATCAACAGCTATGTGAGTGTTTATTCTCTTATTACATTTTTATCTTGATTTTCGTTAGTAGTTTGCGGACAGCCATAACAAAATGTCATTTTAATAAATAGACTTGTTTTCCTCTCTTCTGTGAGACTTCACATTATTATTTATTCAATACTTCTCCTAAGACTGAACTTAGTACGCGTATTTATTTTAACAAACGTACTTGTCTTTGTATGGTGTTGATGATAATCACAGTATGATTATCCAGTGAATTTATAATTTTAGTAACATTCACTTTGAGATTTACCAAGAATCTTCAATCAGTTAACTTGGAAGTAATTCTCACTAACCCTAGCTTCTCTGAGATTATGAAAGTTTTTTCTTTGAACAGTAACCTGAGCACACACAAAACGCACATAATGTTGTCCGAATTGTTTTTAATCGTAAAAAGCTAAGTCGTATTCTAGAATCTCCATAACTTTGATAATACGTAAAATATTGGTTCAAAATCACTTGAAAAAACTTGATTAATTGTAGTAAATTTTATTTGATGCTTGAATCATATCTAGGGTTAAATAATTAGAACAAAACGTTTCCCATACATCTTTGCATTGTTACCCAAAATATAGCAATCCTAGCATGTATACTGCCTAGCAGTTCACTGTGTATTACTCTACAACTCTACATAACGGCCTATAAAAAATAAGACATTCGTGGACTACAGGTATTTGATCACTTTTTACCTTCTAAATATTGAGTTTCAATATACCTCCATATGTGCACTATCATTCCTTCTTCTCGAACCATATTCATTGTGTTCAGTATTCCACGTAATCACTGATATTACCATCATCTCAGCTTCTTTGCTCTTCGTATTGCTAATTTCACCGCATTATACTGATTTGATATTCCAAACCCCAGATAGACGCTTATGTACATCTGTCCAAGTTATCAAATCAGCATAACGAGATGAAATTAGCAAGATGAACACAATAATAGCAACAATAGTATTATCAGCGATAGTAAGAAGTACCAACTATGAATATGGGTTTGGACGAAGAAATAAAACAAGTGAAAGTATGGGATAAAAATGAAGCTGTAGATTTAAAATAAGATAAACAGTCAATGTATCTAGTTTTTTTCCGACCTACAACACTTTCCAGCATTGTGAATCTAGATACTCGGCCATCTAGGATACGTAACGCATTCCGAAAACCCTAGTTGATGAATATTCATTACCTTATCAACTGGTTTGCTACCTTTCACTAGTACTCTGTACTTCAAAATTTTTCACTCTATCGTTTCTCAGTACTCCAACAATCCTTCAAAGACACTCATGATCAGAAACCTGAAGCCTACCCATGTCTTTTACCTTCGTAGATCATGTTTCACACCCATACGGTGATTCGAAATTTACTGCTGAGTAGTATGTATACTCGCACAAACAGGCATCTTATTTACTCCGTAGGTGGCTCGATTTGGCAAAATCCAACCTAACTTTACAAACAGGCCTTAGTACGGACAAGGGTGGGGAGAGTCCACTCTCCCTTTCGAAATGTTCTCACATGGCCACGCGTATATAGCCATATCCAGGGAAGTCTTACTCACTGCCTTCTCGCCGCGGAGATGTTGTTTACCAAATTGAGAGTATGAAAGGCGAATGTCCGGCGCTTTAACCGGGTTGGTGGACATCCAGGATCCTTATGGAACAAATGGCATATGAACCTGTTGCTGGTCACTGGCTACCATGAGACTGCATTTCCTAACGTTGCTTCACTGCCTTGTAGATTAGACCTGTAGGTCAAAGGCCCCGAAAGTGGCTCCCTAAGTAAACCACCTGCTCCGATTTGGACACCCGGGCAGTATCCTAGTCTTCACACAAATAGAACGATAAAGTGTAGCGCATATATACTCAGTGCCTTCTTGTACTAATATTTGTATTTAAATGATAAGTAGTTACAATAAACCCGCCAGTGTAAAACTAAACGTATAATACATCGAAAGACTGCTCCTGACCTATGATTGTAAAGAACTAGTCAGCTGACAAAAATACATCCCTTTAGTCACATTCTGAGCTGTGTAAAAATAATATTCTAAAGGGATTATTCAGCTGAATTTGACTAATTTACCAGCTCAATACGCACATGACTTGAAATTACACAATTGCAAAATATTTCTGTTCGATACTTCCTTATTACCTTTAAAAATAGTTCTTCGATTGATAACAGTACATATTGAAAATCATCTTTAAAATAGATATTTTTTATTTAGCATTAGTTGATTTGGGCAGTAACATTATTTACCGGAAATGTATTACTAGCTCTACTATGATACACTTTGTTCTCATGAGAACTAGTCTAATTGATTCTACTCTATAGAAATTTACATATGCATAAATTTATTTTATGTCTTATCTAAGGAAATCTGTTAGTGGCGTAGAAATATGGAGTTCAAATCGTTTAATTGCCCTTAAAGTTGGTTTCCCAGCTATAAATTGGAATTGTCGTCAATTACAAATGTTATCTACAAGTAATTCAGATAAAATGGCATCGGCAACATGTAAGTGTTTCTAATTGACTGCTATACTTCTTTATTAGGTCGCTAATATACGTTGGATTAATTAGTAACTTTTTTAATTCATAGATATATATATAATGAAATAAAAGGTTATAACACAGCATAGTTAATCAGTTTTCAGGATCATAGATATATCGAAATTCGAAAACAATAATTTTTTTCGAATGAATTAGTTTACTGCGGGGTTTGAAAGCGAGAGAGACTACGAAAAGCCAATGTTCGATTCTCAAACCGGATTTTTGGGTAAGGAAGATTCTTCTAGGGGAGTTGAAAAACCCTGATCCCAAATCATGTATTCTAGGATCCCAAGGGAACGAATGGCTTACGAACTCATTCTTGGCCACCGGTTACCTTGGGACCGAAACTCCCAGCGTTGCTCTACGGCCTTGTGGACTAGACATCTGGGTCAAAGACTCAAGGAATAGCCCCCAAGAAAACCATCTGCTTCAGTCTGGGTATCTGGGCAGTGTCTCAGCCCACACGCAAACTCAATAATTCGTTTGGCGCATATATATATATTGGTGCCCCTTTGTACCAAAATTTATGTGCCTAAATAAATAATTATTCATTTCAGAGTATTACATTATTTTTGGTACACATATCGTAATAGCTATAAACCTCGTGTGCATAGAATTACTATTAATAAGTAGTGTATTGAGAAAAAATACACTAAAAATGATGGTATGTCCTGCCTTTATTGTACAGTTATATTCAAAATTGTTTGACTTTACGTTTATTGGAAAAAAAGCATAACCAATGTAACCCATTTATTCGTATCCAAGCTATCCATGTTTTGTATTAGATCTGATGAGACATTAGATAATTGCTGAATCTGAAGTCCATAGGCCGGAACCCGAACCTGTAACCTAACAGTTAGAAGTTATACATGTTAACCATTGAATAACCGCTCTATTTTCATAGTTCACAGAAAAATGATTATAATTCATCCATTTGTTTTGAATCAGTATAATTTCTAAACATTATATTTGCAATGACTTGACTAAAATGTGAATACTGATGATAATATGACGTCGTTATGATTGTAGAATAAGCTGTTATTTGTTCAATCAAAAAAATGAAATTGATTTGGACAGATGCAAAAAGATGAATTCAAGACTTAGTAGAAATTTATTAGTGCAATAGGTGTTTTCATTACTCTACTAATTTATAACTGATCCTCAATTAATCGAAATAACGTCAAAATGTATAATAAAGAAAATGTAGATTCTCATTCTAAATATTCATTTAATCAGTAAATTTGAATATATTGGAACCGGTGGTTAGTCAAAATTCAGCAGACCAGTCGTTTAGTTTGCTCATATAGTTTAATATAACTAACTTTCTGAGTTAGACATTTTACTTCTTCCTAATGAGATTAAAAATAATTTTTAAATAAAAAAATATGAAGAGGGGAAAGAAAAAGCAATAAAATATATTGAGTAGTAGTAGATAAAAAAAAATCGTCATGGGAATATGAAGCTTCATCATAACTGGTTATAAAATGAAGTGAAAAAGATAAGAAGAAAATAGAGTAAAATTAGTTGTGTTGCGTTTGTGTGTGTGTGTGTACAAGAAATGCGGAATTTGTTACACATACAACTGTATTTTTTACTATCAACTTTATTCAGTTTGAAGAAAGTTAAACAACATATCTGCAAATTATCATTCAGTGAAACTAAAAGAATTCGACTATTAGCAAATAATTGTTAGCGTGATATTCAGTAGATGAAGTTTGTTTATATAAGTAGTATTTGTACTTGGAAATGTCTTGTTGACTAATAAATTTACAGAAGTAAACTGAATAGAAATCGACATCTACATAAAATAGCGTGACTACTATTAAATATCATAGGAAACGCTCAATACTTTAAACACTTAACATTATCGCAAAAACTGATCCTCTCAGAAATACGATCATATATAATAAATTATTATTTTATCCAATATTTTATATAAACCCCGTATAACATTGTTCCACATAATTCATAAAGTTTTCTTGAATTTAATCCACTGAATAATCAATATATACATCTGAATATCCAATTGACCAATTACTCTGTAGACAAAATATAAGCCTAGAACTATAAGACATTGTTTTCAAGTTGTCATAATAATTGTAAATAAGTAGTACATTTCTGATAATGCTCGATACACTTTTCAAACTTTCTACTACCAAACATTAAGTGATAATGACTTCATGGAGAATAAATATAACAAAATAACTTTCAGCTTGAATGGTTAATATTTATTTGCAGAATGTAATACATTGACGCCTAACTGTAAGTTGATTATCCTTAGGATATTTCGTAGATTACTAGTATTTGTTCACAGTGTCTTCGAAGTATTGCTCGTGTACTTCGGGACAACTGAGTGAGCAATGGCTGGGTTAGGAATAGAGTACTAGGTAAAAATGGTAAATTAACTGATTAAATACTAAATTTTCATTAACTAAGGCGCTTGAGACATGTTTTACGTGTGTCCGTCAACCGCCTACCTCGACAGGCAATGTTTTCTCATGTCAGAGTAGATTGGGAGAAAGCTAGGGGCTACTGAACCAAAACATGGTTTTAGTCCATGAAGTTATCGACAATTGGACTGAGCCGTGTTAATAGGTTTAGAAAATCTGATTGGGGTTCACATGATTATTATAACCGACGGTTGTAGACTTTGAATGACATGACTCAAAATCGTTTGTATTAGCTCAGGTATATTTATACTTTGTCTTTCCTAAAATTCTGAATTGCCGAATTCCTCATAACCTTTTTTCATTTTTGTTTCACTAATTTATATTTTCTTGAAATCTATCTTCAATCCCTTTTATCTTCTATCACTACTAATACTGTTACCATCTGTACTATTCTAGGATTAGGTCTGACAATTTCATCTCTCTGTGGTAACAGTATGACAATATTAACCGAGGTACATACGTACCAGGTTCTACGTTGTGACTGACCAGTTTCGGTATGGCACTCAGCTTCCTATCCGAAGATACTACGGCTACTACTACTGGTAATAATAACTCAGTTCACTGATAACATACAGTTTTGTACTCAACCTATATCGTGATAATTATTTGATCAGAAACTATACAACGTTGTTAGCGAGGTATAGATTGGATTAAATCATGTTTCATGAAAAATTGTGTTGTTGCAGTTTGTTTGGTCGTTTCTTAGCCATTCAGCGCTAATGAATAATTGAAGACTCTAGAATCTTCTTGTATAACAATTATAAATACACTAACATTTTTCTTATTTTGATTCCTACCTCCATTCAAACCTGTTTATTTGGAATATAACTACGTTCCTGTTCAACAGTATTCCGATTTGAAGACTTGTCAAATGAAGTAAAGTGTCCAAAGAATACCAAGCAATATGAACAACGGGGTTGTAATAAGAGAGATCACAACAAACATACACTACGCAAGCTTGTTTGACAGCATTATAATGATATCAAAAATTGTTAATGAAAATAGTCTTAAGTCACAGAAAACGTATCCAAAAAGTTTTTAAATCATCGTGGTGAAAGACGATGAAGAGCGAGACACGATTCTATCATCTCTCTCCAACTTTCCTCATTTATGTAGCTATGGCGATAAATCATTAGATGCTTCATATCAAGACTTAAACATAACTCCACATTTGTTTTTGCTTTCCCAAGTCTAGTGGAGTTTGCAAAGTTTGTCTTGAAAAAAAGCAAAAACAATGATTAATTCAAAATTATATGAACTCATTTTATTTCACTAGGTTCTCATCACCTGCATACAACCTCTATAATATTTTAAAATAGAAACTGACATACTTATAAATATCAAAGTGATTGGATATAAATATACATATCATGATGAAACGGTGACTCCAATATTATTAATGCAAACTTCGTGTTTTGTATAAAAATTTGAACTATTCGTAAGAGTGTATCACGCTTCATGTTATTTCAGCCATAGTAAGTGAATTGTCAAATTTTTTCAGTGGCCAAACTCGAACGTATTCCATTTTCAGCATTTAGCTTAATTACACCCAAGCCTATAAGCTCTTTTTCATGAATCATACATAACGTTCATTACAATTGAATTAAAGCATAGACATTAGTAATCTGAGTATATATATACATATCACTCATCTTCAGTTATTCGTCGATGTTTGTAATCACGTTGAGTATTTCATATTTTGCTTTTCTTAATATCGAATTTTATTCTTACAGCTATATTAGATTATAAAGAAGGTAGGGCAAAGAATAATGTCTGCTTAGAAATGCCCACACTTTCAGATGGATATCATGTCTCAGATAAAGCTATGAAAGAGGTGGGTTTAAATTGAGTCATGATTATTTAAAGTTTATAAATAATTATGGTAGACATTGTATGCTTATTCACTTAGTAGTAATCAGGTCAGGCTTTGCTTTCCTCATAGAGACTAAGTTAGTGATTCTGTGGGGACGGTAATGTTAAAGAGTAATTCCGTTGCGGTCGTCGCGACATTCACAATTACTATATCCGAAATGCATAGCAACGGTTAGATTATACTGCTTATCAATTACTTGGGTGCATTATTATTATTAATGGTCAGTTGAGAATATATTGGGAAATATTTTAAAATAATGTCAGGTCATAATGACAAAGTGATTAAAAATAATGTGATAAATGAATAATAAGTTTTTTATGAGTAGTATTATTCATTTTTGATATGCTCATTAATCAAGTACCTTATATATTCATATATAAGTAGAATTCTGCTAACGTTGAAAATAAAGCGAAAAAGGGGTGTGTTCCAATAAAAACAAAAAGGCTATCTTTAGATTATTGGAGTTTGGTTTGCCAGTATGACAAGTTTCTAGAAAAAAAAAGCTGTCACTTATTGCGTGTATAGCCGTTTGTCGATTTCACAGTTTCCTTATACCTCTCTTCTTCATTCCCGGTGGTAGTTTTAGTTATTTTCAATTCCTTTTCTCCTCCTTTCATTTTCTTACCGCTGTCCTGATAACAATGTTTAACAACGTAAACTGATACATTTGTTTATACACATTATAGAATCATTACATAGCAGTGGTTTAAAAATTTGACTTCTGATTGTTGAGTTGGGGGTTCTGACCCTCCCTTATCATTATAGGATATGAGTGGTATTGTAGTGTTTAGTACCATTTCAAGCCCACATAGGTTACTCTAGCTTCCAGACACACCAGTTTGTTCATTCTTTCCAAGCCATATTTTGACCTTATTGATTATTCGCTAATTGACCCTGACTATTTTCATATGATCGTATGTGTGTTAATTGCTCGTCCTATTCATTAAGTATCTGCAACCTTTTTTTCTGAATATAAATATTGAGTCACGCTTTATTAAATCGAGTTGGCTAACTCGCCTTCTCAGCTGCGCGTCACTTCGTCTCGTCCCGCTTCGCTTCCTCTACTTTGTCATTAATTATACTAGATGAAATTCATTTATTTTCATATTTCTCTTTTTTGTAGAATGTACAAATTCTATTAAATTTGTATTGTAATAATCAAATGAAATTCTCTGACGGTACTTGTTGTCGTGGTTCTGAGCCAATTACACCTATACAAGAAAAATGTTTTATATTTTACGCTATTTGGTAAGTTATAACTACAATAACATTATTATTATACACTTCATATTCACTGTGATAGAAACTATGAATGTTTGCGAAATCATTCATTAAGAATAAAATTTTAAAAATATGTAATATATAAGTGGGTTAGAGGTCTTGAAAAAATGGTTAGGTATTAAATCTATTTACATCATACTATAACTATCACTATAACTACATAAAGATAAATCAACAAGAAATTCAATTCAAAATAATAGAAATGTTTACGTGTAGAAATCGTTTGATTGCTGTCAACACAATGTTAGGCCCACACCGCATATGGGCTAAATTGATGTTTGATAGTAGTGACTTAACGATTGTATAAATTTTTATTAAAATTGTTGATTGTGAAATCCAAAATGCACATTTCATTTTATTTAGAGCACGTTAGTTGCTGATACTTTCATCTCAGTCTTAATGTTCTTTATCATAAAACTCAGCTCCAATACGTTTCTCTCTAAATACTAACTCACTATCCAATAAGCCTTTAAAGACCGTTTCGATAATAGTCACATGTTGTATCCAATACAACAGATTGGATAACATAATAAATGTTTTCAAACACACACACACCGTTTATATGACGCTGGTAATAGAAAGCTACATACGGGTTGTGTTGGTGTAATTTATTTCAAGCATTCGTTTATCCAGACAGACATTCAGAATAAGAAGTGACAAAGCGAAGCAGATCGGGGATGGTGGGTGAGCCAACCCAGTATAATCAAGTGTGACTCGTTATTTATAGTCAGACAAAAATGGGTTGCAGACATGTATTGAGTAGGATATACAGTACACGCACATATGCTCATATAAAACGGTCAAGGTTAATGAGCTAGTAATCAACAAGATCAAAATGTGACTTGAAAAGAATAAATGAGTCAGTTTGTATGGAAGCTAAAATAACCTATGTGGTTTTGACATAGTACTAGACACTACAAATTCTTAAGTATTACCATTTATGTTTGATAGTCTTTTCATAATAAGCAAAATAATTTCTTTGTAATACAAAGTTCAAGCTTCATTTCATCAATGAAATGAGTTTCTACTGTTTTAAGGAGTTGAATATAAATAAATCTTGGTAAATTTGGATGAACTCTGTAAATAACCTTCAAGTTAACACATGAATCAATGGATTGATTTATGATGATTAAATGTCCAAAAAGAGAACGCCTAACCCCTTTTCTCTTACCCTTGTTAAACTATACTGAAATATAATCTTGTATACTTATTGAAAGTAAGTGCCTGCCATAGCCTATATATCTTACTTGTTTTTTACTCAACTGTTTAAACAACACAAACTCTTGTCATCCACAGAGTAAACCTCAAACTTTGTATAAAAAAATAAATAAATTTTCTTTTCTATCATCTTCATTTTCTTCAAACAAAAGAAAATACGATTCATTTGCTTTCCTCTAGTAGTTTTAAAATAAATTTTAAAAAAAAACAAGTGACTAAAACACCATCATATATGTATTGTGCCATTATTATTATTATTATTATTATTATTATTATTATTATTTTCGTTACCATTATTACTATTATATGTTTGTTTTTATCATCTAACTTTATGGTTGGTTGCTAAGCTCCCTTGTCATAATATATACATATATATATTTGTGTGTGTGTGACTGCTCGTGTTGTAGTTAATCGATATACAAATAAGAACATAACAATTAAAATTTATATTCAGGTTACTTTTTAACAATAGTTACTAATCCTAATCATTTTTATCACAATAAGATATAATGAACTGGTATTATTGAACTTATTGTATCTTACCTTTAATTCAACCTTGAGATATGTTTTGTGTATTATATGGTTTTTAATGTTATGTAAGTAAACTTATCGTGTAATTGTTTCAGTCATCTTTTTTTTTCGAAGACTACTTATTACTTTTGTAAAACACGATAATAAGCAGGAAGAGTAAATATTTGTTGTGTGCAGTTACAAGAAATTTACATAATACATATATAGATAGACTTCAATCCTTCATTTTCATCTTTCAATGTTTTCTGTCATATGAACTGTCTTCTCGTCTAGTCTCCAAATATTCTGCCAACGCCGTGCTTTCAATGTACTGAAACTCTTCACAGTTGTTAAAACTTCGACACTACGTTCAGCTACACACTGCTGACAAACATCCTTGTGAGCAGCTTCCATTACATTTTGACGTTAAAAGATAATTGATTGAATGAATATACTGTTTTCCCATTGTATCTAATCATTAAGTGTATGAGTGTTTTATGAACTGTTTGTTATGGATTTATGGAAGTGAAGCGTGAAATAAACTGTAAATGTTTAGATGAGTATTAGTCTGAAATAACTTACTGTTACATAATTGATTTATGTTAACTAGTTGTGTAATCGATTTCAATAAACATTCGTAAATTGTTCATGAAATCAGTTGACAATCATATCACTAATATATTCTGATTATTCAGTAGACAGTAATGTAAATGTTGACAGCTCAGTCATTAATATTGGGTGATCGTCATGCTATATCATGAAGTAATTGAATGTGCAAATATGAACTGATGCAAAACTCGGTGACCAATAGGTAACTTCCTTAGCATATGACTTAAAGACCATGAAAGGAAATATATTCCGAAAGCCAACATATTCAGGGAAATTTCTAAATTTTAAGTCAGCACATCCTCACTCCACCAAAGTGACAGTGACCAAGAATTTGATAACTCGTCACTGAACCAAATGATATGGAAACGGAAATGAATTTTATTATATCCAATACGCTAAAATCAAAACTAGTAAGAATTGAAGATTCAATACACAAGAAGGAGAAACAAAATTGTTTATGAAGTCAAATGTAGTGACTGTAATGCCACATATGTAGGTGAAACATCAAAACAACTGAATGTAAGGGTGAAGGAACACAAACTATGCTTAAAACGAATTCCCAAGTCCTCAGATGATGTAAAAAAAACTCGAGAACAAATCAGCGATAGCATTACACTCAATAGAATCGGGTCATACAATTGATTTCAATGGCACAAGAATCCTTCAAAAAGGCTTTAATTCTTACAAAGAATGACTAACAGCCGAAGCCCTACACATATGGGCATATCCAACTAGTACTAATAAGAAAGATGAAATACAATTAGCTGTCCCATGGCAATTAATAATTAATAAGTAAACGTAAACTCCTTATTCCATTTTATCTATCTCATTATCTGAATAACAGCAATTACATTCAACGATTCTAATCAGTTGTCTTATCTGAATATGTTTAACAATTAACTGGACAACATAAACATTCAATTGGTATCGTTTGGCTTGTATCTTCCCATTGAGGCTTAAAACTGCAACTGATCAGTCTGTTGTTAGCATATTTATTTACATTCATTTACAAATACATTCTTCCCCTTCAAATTCTTTCCTTTATTTTGTTCATTTAACTTCATTTAATGCATGCTGTGACATTTTTGATTCATATCATATATAAAATGATATGTTTTCTTAGTATTCACAGACCGAAGATAATATATAGTTGAATGAAATATTTTCTCACATCACTTACGTATACACACAATCTGTTATCTTAACACTTCGTTTCACACCACAAATTTCTTACACACTAAAGCAAATACCTACTTTAGACTGTTAACGTTGATTGGATGACCTATTCAGTATACGGTGAACCGGGAAACTGTGTACCTATTTATGTTCGATAATTTTGATGTTTGATTATATTTTCTTGAAAAAGCTTTGTCAAGGTTGCCAGGGGAAACGTTGGATTTACTTCAAACTCATTCGCTGAGATTTTACAAATAAATTCTTCCTCTTTAAGGGTTCATTGTTTGAAAAGATACGATGTATAAATTGTTCTCATTGAATATTTGCGTGAAGACTTTAATGATCAAAATCAAGCGAAATGCGCAACCGGAAACGGTAGCATTCTAAAGTGTTCCATTGCTATTTTAGAATACGCCGCAATATATATCAATTTTGTGAATACAATTGTCTTTGATAAGCAGTATAAGATGAACATAAATACATTAAGAAAGTAACGTAGCTGCAATGTCATATACGCTTCGGAATGATAGATGTCCAAAAGGATTTCAACAGTTATGAATTAGTATTTCCTCGGTAGAAAGGTTGGAACTTCATGTCATGATCCTTTGATCATAAATTGTTGATTAGGTATCTGCTGCTTGACTTGCTGGCTTTCAATAATCAATGATTACTCCTTAAAAAGATTGTTTTCATTTTATGATCCCGTTTATATGACCAATCTGAGTTCATTATTTTTATTATTATTCTAAACTTGATGTTTTAATTCACAGACTTACTTAACGTACATTTTGTAAAAGTATAGCATAGGGATAAGCTCTAGCAATTCTTAAAATAACTAACAAATATTAGCCCATTATTAACCGATCAGTAAGCATTTATTGTAAATCAACAGTTTATAAGAAAAATAAAGATTTTGAGATGGTGGAGAAGATTTGTAGCTCAGATGGATGATTTTGGTGTTTTGTTCTTTGAACCATCCAGCTCAGAGAACAAAACTCCACGAATAAAGATTTTGCATTTGTTAGTGAATCCATTGAGGTCTGCTACAGATTTATCTGTCTATAAATCAAATGACTCATAAATTCATCTAGATGGCTGTAAAACATCTACCTTCTTAAACTCTTACATAGATTCAAGGAACTTCTGATTAATATTCCAGTTGTTATAAGTTGAAGTTCAGTGTTAGGTTTAGGACTGATTTACTTGTTATGTACAATCTACATAGAAAGAATGGAGCATTTAATACGTTTAATATTATCATTTTTACTCTATAGTGGCAAAAAAATAATTTCCTGGTGTAATTCTAGATGTTCTACGGGCTAAATAATCATACTCCTAGTGTGTTTTTTTACATGATATAAAATATGTCTTTCTTTCTCGCAAAAACTCGTCTACTCGATTCTAACTGTCTTGCCCCTATACTATACTTCTACCCACCTCTCTTATTTACCTGTTCTAAAACAAAATATTCTATTAAGAGACTTGATCGTCTTCGATGAAAATTAATTGTTTTTACTATATTGCTTATTGAAATTCATTTATCAAAATTAATCAAATTTAATTTAAACATACCAATTTTTTATGTGAAAATTGATTTGTCTGTGAATTGGCCCATAGAATGTCCCTTTTCTATCATGGAAAAAGTATATAAATGAATGAAGAAATATTTTCATCAAAGTGTTCTTAAACTTAACTTTACAATATAATCTTTTTCCGCTAAGAATTTAAGACAAAATTACACTGGATTATTCGACAGTTTGTTGCAGTATCCATATAATTTTCGTAGTTACTATTATAGAGAGATTGTGGAGGTTTTTGAGATCATAGTTTTATATCATGAATTGACTTTAGTTGAATAATTATCAAAAACTAAGCGTTACTAACTAATTTATTCGAACAAATCTGTACTAATTCTCAATACCGTTACGCAGTTCGGTAGTGAGTGACGTTAATAATTTGCTTACCGATCCTTAAGTATATACTTTAAGTTAACTAATAAGTCATTAGATATTTTAATATTGCTTGGCATTAATATGATATAATTATTTACCGTATATTTCTTTATTTATGTTTTCTCCAGTGTGTTAAGTACTTTACTTTGTTTTCTGCACAATCAATTTATTTCTCGTGGTGAGTCCTGACCGAATTGTTCGTTTTCATTTTGTTATTAACGTTATAACAGTAGAGTTTTGTGCCGTTTACGTTTTTTTTTGTTTTTCGGTAACCCTCTATATGCTTGTTTCAAAACCATTTGCTTTTAAAAACCAACAAACTAATTTAACTTGCTTCAAGATGAGGCCGTGTAGGAGATCATGACTACTGGACTTCAGCTATGTTTGAAGTGAAAAGATAGTCATCACTAATGCCATTGAATAATCATCGCAAATCGATTGAAATTAAAAAAACCTAGCCTAGTATCTATCTAAAGATTAAATCCTCTCCCTGAAATTTGAATCTTTAGGGTTCGATTACTGTTAAGGTGCTTCATACTAGGACCAATCAGCTATTTTGTACTTCTTGACTTTCAACGACATACGAAAGATATCCCAAACATAATACAACTGACAGGCTTGAAATCTATTAGTTATGACACAAAATCGACTTAACAATTATGTCCAATTTTCTGTCTTCTATTGAAACAAATCACACGAAAATCCGGTAAGAATGTCTTAAATGCACCTTTTAATGGCACACCTTTTCTGATTGTTATTATCCTTTGCTTTTATCGATCTGTTATTTGCAAACAAAATGTGTTCTTATTTTGGGTGTTTGGCTTTAATAAAAATGATTTTACGTTATCTTTTTTTCAGGAAGTTTTCGTTGGTTTTTTTTGTCAGAAACTAAATAGATATTGCCCAAGGAATTTTACACCCATGTGTTGTCTTCTGTCTCCATTCGAAATTTATATATATTTAGTACAAATTTTGATCAATTAATTGTCAGATATAAGGTAGTGATCGACTGACGGCAGTTCCAGAAAGTTTAATCTTGAATTTTATCGTTAAAAGGAGGTATAGATTTGGTGCAGAAAATTGTTTCCAATTGTTTTGACCACGGAATTAGGAATGACTATAGAATTCTCCACTATCGTTTCTACATCTCTCTTCTCAAATGTGACTTATAGGTTTTAATAAATCAGTATTTTTTTCCTCTCCTCAAATCGTCATGTGCTTTGTTTATTCTCATTTTATTAATTTTTATTTTCGACTTTAACTTTCTCGCTTTGTCCGATGTTCTGCATGGAAATATATCTACTATATAGCTGCCTGTAGAAGTGTATATATTTGGGCTTTATTACACTCGATTCCTTATAGTGAGCACGAGTTAAATCACCGTTTAAACTTGTAAGTGATTTGTTAAGTTTTAAACGTTTAGCTCACTGTACAGTAACAGTTCTGTATTACTATTGACCACTTCTTTTACTGCGTTATAACAGCTCTTGAAAGTCACTTGTTCTAACTGATCTAGCCAATATGCACACTCTTATTATCTTCATGATTAGAATCAGCTGATTTACCGTGTTAATTTAATTTCTTCGGCATTATCTGAAGAAAAGTTTGTGGAAATGTACTTTCTTGTTCTTCGTGTGTTATGTATGAATATATGTACATGTTATTTTTCCTCCCCAGGTAAGCCATGTACACAAGTGATAAATTTTCGTAGAATATTTTTATTTTTCCGTAAAACGGCTGAAGCGCAACCATATGTCCCAGTGGAAAGTGAACCTGATGGTGATAATGGTGATAATGAGAATAATAATAATACTGATACAACCAATTCATTATTTGTGGAATTTTATGAACTAACTAGTGCTCTGTCCAAATTTGGTGCTATTATGATGTATTTCTTTATATGTGACAGGTCAGTCTTTACGAAATATGTACCGTAACATTTCCTAAACACATATTATTTTATCTCAACTAGCTTATACGGTCAGCACATATTTTGTAATCAGTCATTATCAGTAATTTCTTTCGATAACTTTAAGTAAATGTTTCGTTAAGGATAGTACTCCTTAGTCCTGTATAAAGTTTATTCGTTTGTTCACGGTGTGTTGGTTTTTATCACCGTACTGAAAAATGAATAAAAACTTAAGCGAAAATCCAGTGCAAATAATATAGAATCACAGATATCATTTATGAGGATTTTACTCATTTCAAATCTTTTTTTCATTTTAAAATTAAAAAACTCGTTAGTTCAACACTTACCTTAATGAGATGTTCTGTTTTAGCATATTGCATGGCAGCTGGATTACAATATAAAAATTGAAGGTTGTCGACTTCATTTACTTTGTAAGATACAAAGTGCAACCGTTATCTCTGTTTCCCCAAAACTAGTGGCTTAGTTGGTATATCAGACCATGGTTCCCCATAAGGGTTTTGAGAATTTCCATTTCGAAACCTTTTGTTTGTCTTTCACACTCAGCTTTGTAGGGATTTGGTCAATTTACTGATAATATTCGCCACTAAATAGGATTATCTAGAAAACGAAAAAACGTTGAACTGTCGTATTATTTGGTTTTGAAACCCATTGAACAATTCTCACCACCTTTTTTATGACCATTCTAATTCAAAAAGGAGCTGATTTTTTTCATCCGTTGTCAATTTGATGTTAATCTTTTATACAAAAAGTATACATTTTTTACTTTATGTGGTTTGTAGTAAACATTATTATGAATTCAACTTCTTTAAAGTGACCTAATCGGATCAATAAATTATTCAGTCCACTAACGATGGGTTTGCACTACGCTTAGTGGTTAAGGCGTTGAACTTCCGATCCCCAAAACCTAGGTTCGAGCCCCACTGTACCTACTTCGTTTTGGGTAACCGTGTTGTATCACGCTTAGAATGTAGCCCATACATTGGCGAATCAGTTAATTAGAAATTAATACGTCAACAACACTAATGGCCTTCGATTAATCGATGTGCCTATTAAGTGTGCTGATGGTTATTGCCTCGCATTAATTCACTCTGCTCACAACCTGGTCAATCAAAACACGAGAATTGAAGTCCGATTTAGTTTCCATATTTTAACTTAAAAGTAATATACGTCTTTTACGAGACTACAACATACCGTAAGTGATAAATCACAGTCTTTGCATAATTAGGTCTTCTGTGGCACTAACCTGCGTAGAGAGTGCAAAATTGATTATTCGTAATTTATGGGCTATAAAAGATATATTAACAGCTATTGCATCAAATGCTATTACCATAAACCAAATATTAAATAAATACACCATACAGAGCGAGTATAATCCTCAAAGTTTCGCCTTTTGCACTTATTCACCCGTATCCTCAAATTACCTTTAATTATTTGTATCTACGCGAATTTGTAGTAATAACTTTTTATTTTTAAACATTTCATCAACTTAATTAAATTATTCTTTTCTGCCTATTATTATCATTATTACTGACTAGTAATATCCTGATATCTATTTTGAAACATTGTAGAACAATACTATTCATGAAGGCCAATAAACGTTATACAAATTTGAGCTTTTTTCTGCCGATTATCTATTGCTTCGTGTTAGGTTTATTCTTTAGTGGACCAACTAAACGAGTAAGTATTTCTTCACTATCTACATATAATAATAACTTTTAAACTAAGGTATAAGCCGGTGTTCTGATTAGATCTTCTCACGTGGTTAGTTGACGGACTATAAGACATTACACGGATAACTGGGTTTTTTAATTAAGCCTTTCATTTTCATACAGAGATATTCACTGTGGGATTGAACTAATTATTGAACGAAAACTGATTACTTAAATATGTTCATGTAGGCAATTACCTAAACAACAGTTCTACTCTTTTGCCTATTGTTCAAACCTTTGTTAAACAAAGAATTCAGTTACCTTCTTGACTAAATTGATCAAGTAACATTGGCTAAGTCCGATAAAGCAAAAAACAGCTGAACTGGTAAATACAAATGTAATTCTCAAAACCAGATGACATATTTTTTCATGCGACCACTGGTGAACCATTGGAAATGATCAACAAATAATGACTAGGTCATCACAGTATGTTGACCCGACCACCACGTTTATGTAGCAGCCACTACTGTCGCGACCAAAATATCCCCACTAATGTTGATTATGCCAACTTCATTAATATTAAAAGGATATTCAATTCTTTGGATGCACTCCTGCCATGTATAAACATGATAGAAGAAATTCCTACCTCTTATATATGAGATATTTCGAAGTTGAACTATTTCAATGATTGTATGGCAACTCGAACTGATGTACGTACGTACGAAGTTCTACGTTGGTACTGACTGACTGACTGACTGATTCTTTTAACTCAGTCCAATTACATTTTTAATTAAAAACTAAAATGGCAATTTCGAATCTCCCTTACAAATTCTCCATCTTTTTTATTGCTTTAAGCAGATAACTAGTCATTCATTCAGTTTACTGTTAAGATGATCAGAAAGTTAGTCTGATATTTAAAGCTTTGAACTAATTCACCACATAATTATTTCTCGTTACTTTTCGTTTAATACTTAACTAACTGTTTACGAAATCCATCACTTACATCTAATATTGTCTTAAATATACTTCCAGTGGTGGCTATTTCATCATCTAACTTTGTCACATATTTGTTTTCAAAGATAACATCTTTGTGTAAGATTATAAAGATATGTTACCTTGAAACCATCGGCGATTCACAGTATTAGGATAATATATTTCTATTTAGTAGGTTTGCTGATAAAATTCAGTCTTTTGAATTCTTTAGGCTACAATGGAAAAGCCTTTTTGATTGATTTTCATCCTCTCCTTCCCCATGATAAACCGTCATTTCAACCCAGGTCTGATTCCATAAGTAGTTTCATTGTGGGTATTGAAGTAGTCGAGTAAGCCTAAGATTTCACTTGTCCTATGATCATATCAGTCCTAGTAGATGACTGGTGGAATTTTGGTATTAATCTAAGATGCTCACTCATCTTTCGTCATCGTGGACCGTCTGTCTGTCAAAGAATGAGCATAATGTACTACAGTTTACTCTTTGTTACCTTATAACCATGTAATTGGTCTTTGAAGGTAGAGGGTATGAGAATGCTTTTGGTATTTCACCATAGATGCCTTCGATGTTACGAACAACAAAACTTTCATTTGCCACCTATATTGAAAGACTACTGTAAAGCGTAGATGGAGGTCAGAAGAATTCTAAGTATGTCCACAATATATATGTCAATCCATGAAGTCACTAGCTGAACCGTGACAAAAGGAGGAGACTTCTTGACTAGGGTTAGAGAAATTATCATAATCAGTGATTAGAACCCGTCTTTATACTTGACTTTGAAATACACTTTTTGAGTAAGAGCTCTCACAACTATCTGGCTCACCTAACAGAAACAGATCGAGAACGGTTTCAATCAGTGACCTATTAGTTGATAGCTGATCACTTTGATTAATAATGTGAAGTTGGTAACACTGTACTTTTCATCCTCTAACCTTTTTATTTGTTTTTTCGAACAACATTTTTTTATAATAAATACATTTTTGACATATCCCAATGAGTAAAAAATTTCTGACATTTCGTGTCATAATGTAAGCCATTTCTTCAGAGTAACTAAATAACCGAACATTTTTTATGTTCAGTCTAAACTAACAATCATAATAATAATAATACTTTTTTAGTATTATTTTGACTTATTTATACTTCGTTGTGTTAATTTACACGCTTATTATACTTGACCAATGTACATTTATACCAAGTCCTACATTATCCATCATTGATTTACCCTTTTATATTTTTAACATCGAATTCTTATGCTCCATCGTCATGTCATTCTAACCCACATAATCTCAATAACTATCTCGATTAGTGTGCTTTGTTTTATATTAAAAGTATCATTGTACCAACTATCATTCGCGGTACTCATTAGTTACTGGATCAAATAGTTTTCATCATTATTAAGTTTAATACTTCCAAACACGCGAAATGTTCAAATGAATTCAATTAAGCGCTGTTTATAAAATTTCATGTCAAAGATAGTATATGCTTGCTCAGTTCAGTCCCAGTTCAATTTAACAATGTATGATAAAGCATCATTGTTTATCTGTTATGGATAAGGTTTTAAATTAATAATACAACAAAGTTTTCGACTAATAAATTCGATGAGCAGAATTCTAATCGATAGATCAATCCAATGATATAATATGGCCGAGTAGTGGCTACTCATGTGGTTGCATAATTTACTCAAGCTCTTGGACGCTTAGAAATCGAAAAAAAATCACTAGCCAGATGAATAGACTTTTTTGTAACAATATCAAATGCTTATACACAGAATAAACATGATAAAATGTCTTTGGCGATTGGAGGAAATTAGCTTGTAGGTTATTCCAATCAACTAGGTTCTGACTGGTAAGATAAATCTGTGGACATCTTATCAATAATGTTTTCATGTGTTTATTATCAATGTAACAGTAAATATGGTAGATACACTTTGCTAAGTAATTTAATAGTGTGTCTTCGAATTCTCATCCTATGGTCTTACAGTACACTTCTGTAGAATAATACATATGAACTGTTGTAATGGATTATTTGTAGCTTGTTCGCATTGAATCCCATATCATTCTCCGACTTTACATTAGCCCACCCATAATAAGTGTTGAATTAATGCATAATGTGTATTCACATGAAACTCAGAAATAACTTCTATTCAAGCTGGAAATGATAATGAACATGAATAGATTACGGTTATTAACTCGTTGATACCCAGAAAACAGGCTGTTAATAACAAAGTTTTGCACATGAAATATAAGTTAGTAAATATATTATAAATTACCCATCCGATTTCACTAACAGCTTATTATTGAATACAGTACAGAATGATAAAACGCTAGCGGACAATTGTTAAAAAAAATGCTTATTACACAGATGGACACCAGAATAACGTCTCTTACCTATTTAATGAGACTGTTAATAGTTTTTAAGTTTAACTTTCTAAATGGATATAACCCGAATTATTCATTTAAGAGCCATGTTTTTATACATGAAAGGTTTTTACAACTGGTAAATTGTTTCATCCTAGTACGGGCTTTTTCCCTAGTGTATACCCACGAATCCGTATAATTTTTACTTTATATCTCTCATCAACCACGACGTTATCCAGTAATTCGTATTTTTCGACTGTTGTAAAACTACCTCACACCTAAGTTGACTAACTTTATGCATCAAATCTTTTTATTAGAACTTCAGAAAAGCCATCTTGAAACCAGGTACTACTGGATACACTATTGTTATTTTAGATTAAGTAATATAGTTTTACAGATACATTTTATCGTGATTTGTCATTAATTGTAAAAAGGATCGATTTTAAACGGTTGATCCCCACATGAAACATACATATTATCATTTTGCTTTTTCTACAGTCTCAAGTAAATCATTTGGATATAACACGTGAATGGAAAGGATGGATGCAATTATATCTTCTAATTTATCATTTTACTGATTCTTATAGAGTAAGTTAACTTACATCTTTTTTCTATTATAGTTTATTTAATCAATAAAGAATTTGTTTTAAGTAGTCTATACAATTTTTAGGAGTATGCAAAAGTAGAACAAAATTTTAAAAACTGAAAACATTATAATTAGATAAATCAAGAATTATTAGACAAATATGCTGTGCTTATAAAATGGTAGATTAGATATACAACTCAGTTTGATTCTTTTAACAGTGTTGTGTGTTCTCTGATCTAAATAGTTCGATTGAAAAACTTTCATTGTCTTTTTAGACAATATAACTTAGACGCTGATGGTAATATCCAGAATGACATTGAACACTCGGCAGTTAAATTATTTAGCTTAAAAAACACAACACTAGTAGATTCAGTTCTTATGAAATATATGTACATCGGTCATAATTATATAACATGAAGTCAGTCGAATCACTTTCTATACATACCATATTTAACTTTTCTAATCAGTGAATTCCGATATCTCGTAATTTCTGTCCTAATCAATACATAATTACTCGATTCATTGTTAAAGCACGCTAATCTGTTATTGTTTTCGACTGATCACTACAAAAACTAAGAATATATGAATATCCAAAATCATGCAATACATCAAAACCGTTCCTTTGTAAAACACAGTCTAAATTTTGACTTTTAAAGTTCCTCAAGTGTTTAAACTATTCAAATAAAAGATCTTTCTAAACTTATCTCATCGATGAAACTATTGAGAATGTATTGAAAAATAAAACTTCATCGTTAACTTTCTTTGTAATCACATGTATCTTATCTTAATCGTAAAAACAGTTATCGTAATCAAAGTTTCCCTTTTAATTAAAATGACTTTTTTTCAATATTCTATGCTCCTACTATATTTATTTATTTATTCTTGCTATCATCATAATAACGTTTCATTTTAATTTTTTCCTTGGCTTTTTTTGTTTTTATTTAAACAAACAAGGTAACTCCGATTTTCATGTCAGCTCGTCTTGTTGTATCGAGTTATCTGTTTCTGTCAGGATATGGACATTTTTGTTATTTTTGGCGTAAACCTGTACCACAAATTAATTGGTTAAAATTATTGAATGTAAGCTTATTTTTCTTTCTTTCCCTATATAATTATCAATTCTGTGTATTTCCGTCACATGTTTACTATTATTAAATTTTCAACGGATTATCTTGAGTGTAGAAATATTATGTAATCCTAAATGACTAGTTTAGAGAGATAATTCTCGGAATTCTATTGATTTCAATCTTTAAAATATAGAATGTGAATTTCGTTATCAGGGTGAATAATCAAAGAGTTTTAGGAGAAGCAGTGATTAGTGTAGTTCAACAGTGTGGGTTGTGAAGCGATCACTCACTAGATTTTAAATAAATTAATCGAATTACACTAAACACTGATTTGTCAATAGCTTAAGGCATAAACATAATTTACAATACCACAAGATTAAATTGCTATAACCAACAAAGATAACTAATTTACCGAGTTAAATACTTAGTCCTTCCAAATAATTTCTTGCTAGCTAGGCTTTTTATGACTTTAGTATTCAGTGTTCAGAGGATATCATCTCCATAGCTCAATATTAATCACTGATTTTACACGACATGTAAGAAAATAGCTTCAGTAATCAATTTGTGACATCTGAATATTGTTAATATACTCCCAAACTAAGACAGAGCAGCTTCTTGGCTTTCAATAATTGTTTAATTAGAGTCATCCTATTATGTAAACTATAAAATGCAACACTTCTGTTTAATTTGTAGATATAAGTTTCCGATAGCTGAACTAATAAAGGCACTTGAAGGTGGGTTAGCATTAGATATTTTTTAACTTATACATATGAACATAAACGCTCCGGAACGAGTTACGCCTCCGCATTTGTGCCTGCATACGTTGAAAATATTGCCTATTAATGATATACATATATATATATATATATATATATATATATATATATATATATATATATACATATATATAATCTTTACTGAATTGCTTCAGTAGGTCTTAGCAAATCAATGACATTCTTTATAGTAATTATGTTTATAGAATAAATTTTCATAACTGAAATATGATACTGTATGATGTGTTTTACATGTTATTTAAATGGATAGGTGTCAGAATATATCTTTAACTAAATCATTTTTTATTTAAAAAGCAAACAACCCTATAGTTTGTATTCATATTTTTAATGTTCATGGTTAAACTTCATTCTAAATATCCTGTCGTTTTGACCGTACTAATAAAAATAGTTTTCTAACTGCTTACAAGTTGCATGATAAGATAACCTTTGATAAACACTCAAGTGTACATACGATAAACTTATATTTGATTTAGAAATTTCGTTTTACATATGAAAGGTAGTTTCTCACAGGTAGATTTCCTAATAGTATTTTGCTTGTTACTCTGATCTTAAATTTTATCAAATGATTCCCCTTAGCTATAGGTTCATAAAAGAATTTTAGGCGATTCCTAGAGCTAACCACCAATAAGCATTAAGGGTTTTGTTTCAATCGAGTTAGTTAGATATCTCTCCTGTTAAAATGTCAGATGTTCATTTATTATTTATAAGCTAGTATATGCCTTGATCTATAGTTCGCTCAGAATCAAGTTTTTAGATCTTTTGTTTAAATAATTTACTACTCTTTGAGAAATACTTGTTGCCAGATCTATTACATAACTATCTAAGTAGAAATAAGTTTGGGTCAATAATATGAACCTATTGTGGAATGAATAAAAGTCAAGTGTTACAGTTTCACAAATTTTTATTCTTTAGACTTTAAATGAGAAATCTGCATCTCATTTCTATTCCCAATATACGGTATGCTAAGAAATGTTACTCTCTTCGAAAAATTGAATAATAAACTCTAATTTATTCGTTTGTGCCCAGTTTATTAATCGTTAAATGACTTCTAAAATAAACTAGAATGGTCTAGTTTTTAGAGGTTCCACTTTGGATATATTGAGGATGCTAAAACCCCATGAATCACTTGGTAAATGTCACATTTTATTTGAGAGTTAAATTTCTCGTTTTCGCGCCGAAAACGCTCACTTTTAACTCTAGTTTGTATTTTCCACTTGGAAGAACCTTAAGTGCCATTGGTTCGTTTCCTGTATTAGTACACGACGACATTTTTGAACTGTATATATACGCATAAGTTGTGTGCTTGTTTGTTCGTTCCTGTGGGCTGCTTGTGGAATATACATTTCCCTCGACTGAATCTAATCTTTTTTAGTCTAGTTAACAGGGCTAAGACACAGTGGAATAGTTTAGCTTGTCCTGTTGTTGTGTTGCTGACTTTTGTTCCGTTCGCCGGTTTAAGTGATGTCATAGTAAATATTACTTTATTTAATAATGTTTAATGAATAAATTAAACTTATACTATTGCAGCTACAATTCACGTTATCTGACGTATTATACCGCCCATATATAGTAATTAGACGAACTTTTTTCTTATTTTGTAGTATCGTCGTTGCTCCAGAGAATTCTGCAGTGCATGGAAAGCATTATGGCAAATTTTACATCGATATTTAATTGTATGTATTCTTCTTTTTGTTGGAAAAGTTGATTTTAAGATGCCTTACTATAATTCAAGTTGTAATCTATTTAGTACTATTTTTCAATTCACAATTTGAGCCAATTTTCCAACCTTGTAGAGATTTAATTGTTCTTCAAACGTATTGCATTTTAATAGGTATATCAAGAGTGTTAAAGGATCATCCGTTTTTAAATTTTGTAAATAACTCTGGCATTTAATTTACCTACAAATAGTCATACTAAGTTTGACACATTTTTGATGAATAGAAGTCTGTTGGTAAAAATTTGTATTTTCCCGTTGTTGATGTTAAAACCTTCAATTGATCAAGTACATCCGTCTGACAAGTCCCAAACAGAACGAAACACGCATTCTGGATTTCATTATTTGAACGTGGGTTCAATAAACCATTAAAGTCTGTTCGAGCACACTTTATGTGAAACAAGTAGCACTTAATTTTTATAAATTATCTGTTTATTTGAAACAAAAATTTTAAAACGTGTGTACTAGTACAGAATTAAATATGATGTCTCGGTGATACGTGAATACTTTGGATGACGTAAAAATAGTCTTAGCTCAGTATGAAGATGTTGGAGTTTTGTGGTCTCTGACTTGTACGGTTTAGTTTTGAAGGCTTCATTGTTCTACTGAACAACATCGTCAGTATGTACTTCAAAGGGGAGTAAAGTAATGGAACTTCTCAACAATTGACTAACAACTCGTTCTGATGACGTGAAATTCGATTGATAGTTATCCATAACTATGTGGTCGTTATGTACTTATTTGTTTTGGTTGTTTTCTATCTCTTCTGTTATGCACAATAACTAATCAAGTTCCTTGTCAACAGAACAAGCTGTTATTCAATCGTGAAGAAATCCTAATAACAAAATCCTATTTGAAATACGTGCTGATGATTTTTTTGCAGAAAAACAGAGACCTTCACAACTAAACCTTACAGGTCGGAGACCACAACACCTCCAGACAATAATCCACATATAAATAGCATCATTCATTATATATTGCACTGTTTGTATAAAATGACAGTGTACTGGAAGAGGGTTAAGTGTCAGCTCACAAGTTATGTTGGATGTATGCATAAGTTAACACCTATAAATACTGATTTTTATGTTAATCTACACGCTTTCGGTGCAATTTCATAAATTACTGAGTCATATTTCACAATAGTATATCTTTAAAAATATCTCACGTTATTAATAAAGTTTAAGCGCTGTCTCTAAACCTTGAATTGTACCATAATTATATTCAATTTAAGGAAAGAATGTTTCACTGTTATTCATCTGTAGGAAAATATTACTTACCAGTTAGATAGTTTTCCACGCAATATTACGGTGAGTTCTATCATCTCCTTGTAATTGTAATCAGCAAAATCACACTTTCCTACACGACATAAACCAGCAGTAAGTGCAATGTTATGACCAGTCTGTAACTTTTGTCTAATCGTACAATAGAGTGTGATACATAATTCAGGCTTATAACCAATTTTTCAGTTTGATTTCTCCATCGAAGACCTAACTGATCTTAACATGGATAATTGACCAATATTTCCTACTTTACTGAAACCAACTAATTGGATGATTTTACTCTTCTTCTTGTATCATCTGTTTTGTTTTAGTAATCATCCCTATCAATCATATTTTATATTTGTTATATTTCATTGTTTACAGGTTATTTATCGTTTTAATTTCTTCGTCTTTGGATTATGTCTAGTTATGAATCGCGGTTATTTAGCTTATTATTTTATTCCATTAGTATCATTTTGGTTCACTGTTACAATGATTGTTTGTGTTATATTCCCTCGTGTATCTGGTCAAAAAGTATCTGAAAATCAAAATAATCGGGATAATATCGATTGTAATGATAACAACAGTAATCATAATATCACTAGTAATCATAATAATAATAATGCTCTTTCTACTCATGCTAACAATGTTAACAACATGACTACTACTCCTATTCCTTCTACAACTGCATCTACAAGTATCCCGTCTAACGCAACTGCCACTTCTACCGCTACAACTAATAACTCCTACAACTACAATCGTAACCGTTATTTCAATCACCAATACTTTACTACTAACTACGAGGAATATCCACCTAATCATCAATATATAGAATCAGATGATGAAATTTATTCCCATCAATCTCCAAGACGATCTAGCCTGAACATGAATAAATCATTCCTGTTACCCACCTCATCGCCATCATCCCTGCTGTCATCAACAGATACAGTAATTGGTGAAATATCTGATTATATTCCATGTCATTCTTCATCTTCACGTAAATTAACGGCACCAATTAATTATAATTTACATAAGGGTCATTATAAAGCGTTATCACTCGGTACAGGATTTGATCTTTGTCAAAATTATTCTCTTACTACTACTGATACTGATAGTTCTGTTCCTTGTAATCCTCAATTTTGTCATTATCAAGCCAATCAAAAACTTGTTGGACATCGATTACATCGCTCCGTTGTTAAGTCACGTGGACGTCTTGGTCCACCGTTAACGGAAGATTTAATTCGTAAATTTCAATGCATTGTTTTACCATTAAAAAAGAAGATATCACCAGCAACATCGTCGACACTGAGCTCAACAACAACAATAACCACGAATAAAAAGCGAATGGTAATCATGAACCAGAAATTAAAACAGCCATTGGATTCTACTACTAATACTACTATTATTACCACTTCTACTACTAATAAATGTCGTCGATATTTCAAATCAATATGTTTCATTCATTGTAGTCGTATACGATTGACTTACGTATTAATGATAATAAAATTTATTGGTTTAATATGTTTTATCGAATCATTGTATCGTTCAAGAGGATTCTTTCATTGGTTATTCTTCTCAGGGTAAGGTTTCTATGAATTAGGTCATTTTTATTGTGTATTGATTGTTTCTCAGTTTTAATAAATTTACACTCTAAGTCAAATGATAGTTTAAACCAAGAAATAACATTGACTATGGTATAATTAAATAAAAACCGTCACGTTGTAGGTTTGAAGCATACTTTAACTACATTTATTGACTCCAGAATCACATCGTCATTGGACCGAAATAAAATCACTTCTATAATAATTTTACATAAAATAATATCGCATAGGTGAAAATACATAGAGTTAATCCAAAACACACACACACACTAAATATAGTTCACCTGAATTGGTGGGAAGAATAGAATTTTATCAATGAACGAAGTTCATACCTGTCATCCGGATTTCATAATGAATTGATACCGAAAAACCGAAATAATATCATCTTTTTATCCCATCATATCAAATAGCCAAGGAATTCTCTTTATCCGAGACACATAAAATGGCTATGCAATATCAATGTAGTCGGACAACTTTTGTCAGTAACATACGCTCTCAGGCGTACTTCCAAATTTCACTCTCCATTAATGTTAAAACTCCAATATTCGCTTGTCAATAAAAAATTAACTAATCTATAGTAAGTTGTTATTACTAGTATGATTGTGAATTCCCATTTTATGATTATTCGCACAGTAAACTTATTAGATGATTTTATTTGAATACGTGAGATTGATTAGGTCGTAAATGTACTGTAATCATAATCAGTAGTGTTAATAGCTTATAGTAATATATTGAATTTTTCTTACATTTTCAAATGAACACAATCTTTTCAGACCACAAAAGTATATATTTCAATATCATCGTGAGTATACACCAGCACAGAAAGATGTTACCAATAATGATGAAAAAATATGGTTTTTTCGTTGGTCAATCGATCGTTATTCGGCTGTTTACGGTATGATATTTGCCTTCCTGTGCGAATCCCTACGACAAATTGGAGTGTTAGAAGATACCGTTGATGATAACAGCGGTGATAATTATGCTGTCACTGGTTATCTACAAGGCATTAAGCAGTCGGATGAAATTCGTTATTCTCGATTACCACTGAGTAGTAAGAATTACAATCTTACTACCACTGTCGCTACCAATAATAATGATGATAATCATAGTAGTGATGTCAATAATCATAAAATTAACAATGATGACATGGATACTGATTATCATAAACGACTTCAAAAAGCTAATCATAAAACATTCCATTGTCAGAATGATTACAATGATGAGTCTTATGAATATTTAAATCATTCAACATCTTATGAAATCAAACATTATGATAACATTTTCAATTCAACTGTTCAATATTCAAATCATTTGCAAAAACCAATGAATAGTACTAACAATTTATCATCGTCGTCATCATCATCCACATTATTGAGTCATTTGAATGAACATAATAACGAAATTTCTTATTTCTCTATGCTTATATACAAATGTTTCTCACCGTTAGGTTTAACCGTATTAGGCATAATTGGTCTAATGGTAAGAGAATAGTTTCATTTATTTTTGGAAAAAGTATTTATCATATAATTTTAATATTTCTTTATTCTGATCTGCTTCGTTTCATCAGAAATTGACATTGTAAATTTCTTAATATGATCTTAATGTCAATCGATCTGTTATAATAGAAAGCATTAGGCATAGACTATGTATTTATTGATATGTTTATTTTAAGCACAAAAAATCTGGTACAAAAACGCCAGAAAAGACAGAATACTCTACATAAAGTATGGATGATACTGGGAAGAAACATGATATGTATTTAAAGATAATGAAGAAAAAACAAAATAGTTAACAAAAACAGTATATGTTAGAAGAAATAGTTCAGTTAACAAATATAAAAGAGACTATTCGAAATTCATTCAGTTAAAGAAGTTTCTCTCACATTTATGAAAATTGTGAATAAAAACTACAGCGCGATCATCATTGGTCTCTGTTCTGAACTATGTCTGATAACGTCGCAGCTTGCTGAATTACATCATCTCTCGGACCCAAAACAAGGAGTCGGGATGGACTGACATATGCCAATCCTATACAGCTTTATTTCATATCATAAACTGACCAGTCCCAGTGTCGGTAAGTAATGCACGATTTGAAAGCCGATGGAACCACATTCGTAAATGAATTCTATAACAACGAAGCCGGTGTTTCAGGATAGTGATTCTGTAGTGAACAGAACACGAGTGGGGACAATCGAATGTATTTAACACAAAATTACAAGACTTGTTAACAAAATCTAACAATCATAAAGTAATGCTTAATTTGCAAAATGTCCACCAACTGTCTCAGAATGACTCAGACTTCATTGTTCTTGCATTTTCATACAAATTGCATCTTGTTTCCATTCTTTACTGTTCGATCCTCTTGTCTCTCTGCTGCAAGACCTTCTGTTCACGACTAACATCATATACTATTTATGTCAATATAAGTAGCACACACCACAATAATTGAATTATCGTTACTAGTAGTGTTGACACTAAATGTTAGCGATGCTTCAGGGACTATGGTAATCGAACACAGAGTTAACGTACATCCTCAGCTTGGACATTCCAGGTTTCGCGAGCATAAAACAAAACTACTCTCACCTCTTACAATCAGACTATTATTGCAACGGCACCTAAGATGGCTCAGATTGGCATTAACAGGTTAAGCTTTCACAATACATAAATTGACCTCATCAGTCACGCTACCACTAAAACTCACATAACTACTCAGATACACAAACTTTCCAACTATTTTCAACTGGTCACTGCTAAAAGTTATTGTAAGCACGGATTCCTGCTAGTCTTATAGAAGTACTATGCACAATATAAAGATGAATAAATTAGTTGGATAGAAAGTGAAAGGTTATTTCAAAGCTGAATATCTAAAGAGAGACAAAGAGTGGATCCTCCTTCCCCACTTCAACCGACCTTGAGTCATGTCACCCGTCTCCAACTATTAGTTACGATAATCGTACAGACAGCTAGTTTGCACTTATCTACATCACTCAGTTTAACTTCCTATTGTAGAGCTTTAGTTGAGATCATGAACCAATCAATGTTAAACCACCATTGAAACCTTTGAAGCATTAGACGGCCGATTCGTCCTAATTTGGGACTCCTCAGAGGTACGCATCCACGGTCCCTCGCATGGGGCTCAAGCCCAGGACCTTCGGTCCCGCGCGCGAATGCTTAACCTCTAGACCACTCATCCGGCACCTAACGATGTTAATATCTAACCAATCCGCGAAATCGCGCAACCATCTTCCATTGTTTTCGGTGAGTAACTGTCTCATACCCGACATGGTAGAACTCCATTAGTTACGGCTTCTCACTAAAACTCAGAAAATCACCTCTCGAAGCTATTCATTAGTGTAGCCTTAATTATATCTTGTTTGCCAAACATTCTCATAGCATAATAATTCTTTAGAGACTTACAAATAAGGTTCACAGATAATAATATTGTTGAATTTCACCCTTTATCTTTGCTTCTCCGATATTTATGTGCTTGACTGACTGACTATAGGTCCATCTGTGGCCCCCTTATCAAGATATATTTGTATATATCTTTAAATTTTGTCCATGTTTGTGAACCTATTTTACCGACTTGTTGTTTTCCTTTAGATCTATTTACCCAATCTTCAGTTTAAAACTTCTCTCCTTTTCAGTTTTCTTGCATATATGTATTTGCCTGTTCGAATCGAGAAACATGTTTACATATCCACGCATATATGTGTCTCATTCCTGTAAGTTTAATACAGTGATTTTTGTTGTTGTGCTTGTTCTTGAAAGTAATCGTCTTTTTCGGTGTTGATACAGCAAATGATTTCTGGTGATCATTAAATTAATTGAGTCTTTTGTGAATACCATTAAAATTTATAGCTAGTAAATGAACACAGTTTTCTTTGAAGTCAAGTCCGCATTGCTCTTCCATCTAATTGAATTGATCTTATCCCCAATATACAAATTCGTGAATTTTCTACTTTTAATTAGTAAAATATATCTGAATGTGAAGGAAATCACAAGCATATATAATGGAGCCCCACCCTACTAGTGAACTGTCTTTTTTTTGCAAATTGAAATCAGCTCAGCTTAGTAGACAACATCATAGGTTCATCCATACCATTCAACTTTGAATTACTTTGCTCTGTGTGAAGGCTAATAAAACTACTTATTTACCAAAAAGCTGAAGTAAATTCAAAATACGCTCTGAACTTACAACCTAGTAGTAGTTGAGAGTCAATCGTGTACTGTTGTAACCTACTAAATCGTCATTTCACATGTTCACACATCTAAACAAGTGACTGACCAGATTTTCTGATTGCTTAGTTTATCTAATTAAATACTAATTTGGCTTCATTGATTATTTGACTCACGAAACCTCAAGCCGATGAATTAACCCTAGAGATCTTTAAGAATTGTGATCCGGCTTTAATTGTTATATTGACTGGGATTTTATCTAGATTCTGGAAATTGGATGTAATCCCATCTGGATGATTTCGATTGCTAGTCTTTTTGGTCTATAAGAAAGTACAAAAGTCCTCTTATGATAACTATAGAGGAATCAGTATCTAAAATATTAGTCTCAATAATTATCTAACGCCAAACTAGGGCTCATAAAAAGCAAACTCGGGAACACAGGTTGGTTTCAAACTTGGGCGTGAATGTATAGACCAAATATTCACCCTTCTCCATGTTTCGGTAAACAGGCGTAGCTGCCAACCCCCAACTATAGTTGTATTTCTCGATCTTTAAGACAGCGTTTGACCCCGTAAATGGGCAGGTTTTGATGGAAGTATCCGTTCTTAAAAGGTGTACCAAATAAATACATCAACCTTGTACAGAATCTCTACTCGAACACTGCTGGTCGCGTCAGAGCTTATGACCAACTGTCTTCAGAATTGGTTACTTCGAATAGTGTTCGTCAAGGTTTTCCGCTTTCCCAGTTTTTGTTTAACTTCATTATAGACATTCTTTTAGAGATAATGCTCCCTTCTAGCTTGTTGGCAACCGACTTTCTTCTAGTAGATTCACTTATTGACTTAGAATACGTAAATGATATAGTTCTTTTTGGTGAAGACAATGATAAAATGCAGTCTTCTGACCACCTTAAGCAACAATGCAAGCATGTTCAGGATACGGTTCTCTCCCTCCGAATCCAAAATGATGCTTATGGATCAGCTTGTGTTACCACCTAAATTAACGATAGGCGGTAAAGTAGTTGGACGCATCGACCACTTCACTTACCTCGGCAGTCTCATCAGTCCTGATGGTCTGGTGTCTGATGAGATTTCGGTACGGGTTCAGAATGATCGACTGGCTTTTGCCATCTTGCGTCACTTGTGGCGTAGGTGGGATATCTGTTTGTCAACAAAATGACGAGTTTACCGAGCAACAATTCTCTGTTCTTCTTTAAAGGTGTGAAACATGGCTATTAAGAATAGAGGATATTCGCAGGTTACTTGCATGCGATCACGGGTGTCTTCAAAACATTACTCGTGTGTTTTGTGACCATCATATGCGTTCACTCTTTTTTAATGTTTGATATTTTTTTATTACTACTAATATTGTTACTACCTCTACTACTCTGGTATTTGGTTTGACAATTTCATCTCTCTGTGCTAATGGAGTGTGGCAACTTAAATCTGTGTACACATCTACCAGGTTCTGCATTTCATTTGACTGACTGATCGTTTTTTAAAACTATATACTCAATGTTCAATCTTTCTCAGTAGTATGTATGTACCACGTGTTACGTTTAGTATGACGGACTGACTGACTAAGTAAAGACGACATAAGTTCAGGAGTAGTATTTTAATGATGATGTTCATGTTCATTTAGCGTCATTAAATTTTAATGTAGTTTGTAACTCCATTCATATAGATAAAGTTAAATGAAGAAATACACAATGGCTTTACATTAATTACTAAGGGAGTTCCTTATTTTCATTGCAGATTACTGTAGAATCTATATACTAATCTTGCTTTTACGACTGTCTAAACTATATTATGTGAATTTTTTCTGTAGATAATATCGTATATTCTGGTGAGAAATAGTTTCAGTTCATTACGTAGAATATATAGTATATTCTTTGCTTGGATTGGTGATATGTCATTGGAAGTAAGTTTCAAATTATTTTCATTTCATTCAAACATATTCTCCATTCTCTATTAATTGTTTTTTTCTGCACGAAAAATTGAGATTGTGTGCTAATAGACGAACTATTAAACAACTAGTCCAAAGCATATTTCTTTTAGACATTTTACTTTGTACAACCCACCCTTTCTTAATATATATATATATATATATATATATATATATATATATATATATATATATATATATGGTATTTGGCTAGCAGTGGAATCTAGGATGCGTATTTCGTCCTATTTAGGATTAGTCAACTGGATTCATCTGCATTCCAGAGGTTGATATTCACACTGAGACTCGAACCCAGTTCCTTTCGCTTCAAACACCATTGTTATCTACTGAGATACTGAGTTCGTATAGTCACTAACTTTCTCAACAGGCATGAATTTATATGTAGGGGTTTTTAATCTACTGTTAATAGTAAGTCCCAATGAAGATAAAATTCGCTAGCCACATACCAAATGTACTAAAACTTGCAACATGACTCAGTTTCGAATTAATCCGCTCAGGATGCGAATATAACTGCAGAGACTGATCAATCGCATTCCTGAATATCAACAACGGGAAATCACAAATCTTTACATACTTTTCGTTTTTTAGTCGTAAGCTTTATACGTATAAGTGTATATGTTTGAGATACACCTTACAATCTTATATCCTAACTTTTATATATCTTGATACTCTAGATATCTGCTTTATTCTAGTACGGAACGCTTTAGACTTATGTATCCATATCCCCCCAGGCCGTTTAATACTTGGGGAATGGAGAGTCATATTTATACTAAATTGACTAAACTAATATGAAATGATGCACAATATCTTCGAATGTTTACTAAACAGTTTCGTCTATTTTAATCTTAATAATACTTTTCCCATATATAATGTATCATATTGTAATCGTCTATACATCCATCATTTTGCTCCAATTCCTATTTGTTTCTTTTTTTGTTAGTTATTTATTGCTCAATATCATATTTGGTTATCAGCCGATGCTTATGGTATACTTGTTCTATTACCAGGTTTTCCATTGATCAACTTAACTTTGACATCATTTATTTTTATATGTATATGTCATGAAGTGCATATATTGACACGTCGATTACAAAATTACATTATTCCTAATTGCCCTTTAAAACTTGTTCGTAATATGTTAATTTTTACATTAGTATTTCATTTAATTACTAATTCAACATTACAAATGATTCAATGGGATTTTTCTTAATTATTATCATTATGTTGTATTTCTAAAATAATTCCATTTTTACATACTTTATTTAAATGTTTTTTGAATTGGTTCCATTGTATATTGTTGTTTGTTTTTTCTAGTTTTTCATGGTGCATTCATTCTTTATAGATATATTATTTTATTTGACATTAACATTTTTCCTCATATGTTTTACTTCATCTAATACAATCATACAAGTGTACAAATGCATATGTATAAATGAAAAGACTAGTGAGACTATAATTTATGGACAACCTTTGAGCGATGCTAGACTACTGACCTTAAGAGTATCCACTTAATAACCAGGATCAAATGAAGATTATAAACCTGTGTAAAGAATTATAATTATAATTTACAGTTGATGATTAAGCTTAGGAATTAAATTTCGAGTTTTCATCATGAATTGACATCAGCTATAATGCCGAAACTCTATTTATCCGAATGGATGAGTGAATTTCACGCCAACATCTGAGACCTGTTATCTTATTCGTGATTGGTTCGTCCAAAAATTATAGTCTCCCTAAGACTGTTTTAGTGTTAGTCGATTTTTTTCTTTTTCTGCTGATTAGACACTATATATGATCTCAGTTTATATTAATACTATTGTTTATTATTATTGGTAAAGATCTTGAAGAAATCACGCCACTTGTTCTTATGATCGAAATTCTGTGATATGTTATTTAGCAATCACCAATGGTAATTTTAGTACTACATATCGATTTTAAAAATGATTTTCTCATTTCTTTGTCAGTTGCTGTCTTTCTACTTTTCAAATTACATATTACCTTATGTAACAATAGAGACCAGGTCATAATTGAATGAAAATGAATATAAAATCTATGATAGAAAAACGTCACGAAAGCTAAGATGATTTTCTTATTTGTCATATAGTTTTTAAATATGTACATTCATATTAATACCATATAGAAAATAGTAATGACTTCTAAAAAATTACTGAGTAATAAAAAGTGGTTGCTCGGTAATTGTTACATTTTATAATTTACACCACGAACTAACCTTCGTTTGACAACCAGTAACAACCAAAAAGCACGAGACAGCTGGTTTTTCCAGGTATTTGACTCATCAACAGTGTCCAATCACAATCCCACAGAGGATATTCAGGTCCCACATCGAGCATTTAGTCTTTGAACTACCGAGTCAATACCCAATGACTTATGATTCTAACTCCAATCAATTAGTGATATTACGCAGTCACCTTGCATTGTCTGCAGTGGATGGCTGCCTTACACCTAGCATGTTTGAACTCTACTACTGATTGCTTTTCCCTAGGACTCCTGGAATTACATCTCAAAATTAGTCACCAGTGAACATATGGTTATTATTATTTGGTGGCGATCTAATCGAAAACAATTGTTCGCTTATATGTGTTGTTCTAGTTTGTGTAAATTGTTGCATTTTGCAGTTTACACCACAAACTGACCTTAGATTACCATTGAAAATGTCCTGCATTCAATTTCGGATAGGATAGTGAATGCTCACTCTTAGGGGGTTTCATACTACAACGAAATAGCTATTCAGTGTTTCATGGTCTTCGGTGGTTATTTGAGTGAGGCCAGTTCGTGATAAAAACTATGAAAAACAGTAGATAAGAGCAATAAAGTGTCACCTGGTAGAAAGCCATTGTTCACAATCCATTTAAATCATCTTGTTAAACTTATGATTGCAAAAGTGTGATTCATCGAAAGATTAACATATAAACATGTTAAGTGTGTTGCAATAGCCTATCAAAAAGGATACATCACAGTGGTTTGAAATGATAGTATTGTGGAGGAAAAGTAAGAAATGAATAATCAATGAACATAAATGCAAAAAGTAGTATTATTTGGGAAATACAATTGAGTTTGGAAAGCAACAAGAATAATGCCATAACTTCATCCAGGTTCACTCAAATTGACATATACCACTAGTCATAAATTGATTTCATCTACATTGCCAACACTTTAACGGAGGTTTTGTAGTCCGATGTACAGAAATTCTGTATCAGTAGTGGCAAATGAACAATTAGTCTCGGGAAATGACTAAGGAAGACATATTTTTTTCTCCTACTATTCCTTGGCTATCCAAGATAAACTCTAGAAACATTTTTATGAACCTTATATACAATCGATGTAATGTTAAGGTATTATCTCATCAATTAAGCATTACTGAACTAGGTAGGTATCTGGCTTTTTTCTGAAGAATCTCCGCCGACAACACATTTCTACTTCGGATAGAGGCTGAGTGCATTTTGTGGTTTATATTGATTTTAAGTTAGACATGTACACCACTAGATGCCGGACCAATTGTCTAAAGGTTAAGCGCTTGCCATGTGACCTGAAGGTCCTGGGTTCGATCTTTGGTGGGGCTGTGGATGAACGCTGCTGAGGAGCATCAAACGAGGACGAAACACCTACCCGGCGCTTACTGGTTTTCAGTGGTTGCCTAGCGAAGGTCTGTTCGTGATATAACCTAAAACAAAGGTACATTACAATAGCTACCGTTTTAAAGTATCTATAACAGAACTGACTTGTATAAACTTAATAATCAATCAGATTGGGCAACATTACAACATTTTAAGTATGAAACGTGACAGAGATAAGAATACCTAGAAGCAAAAGAAGTCGAGAACTCAAAAATTTAAAATTAATTGGGAGAAAATATGTGTTCAGACAGCTGCGAATTTGCTTTACCTAGACTAAACACTCCTACCAGTTTATACAAAAAGCAAGCAAAGCCACAAATTTCTACGAAATTAAAAGACAAGTTGAGAACATTCGATCGTAACTCCCTTTGGGAAGTTCCTCTTGTATTTTATAATGAGCCTATGTAGAGTAATTCAGTTCAGCCGTAAAAAGTCATGAATACTTTCCACAATCATAAATGTAGGACGTATGTAGGGACGAAATCAATGGAAAATGTATAACTCCAATAGAAAGTTCTACAAACCAATAGATCCCACCCGCCAATTGTTTACCTGGCTTAATACTCCCTTGCTATTTGTACCACGACCATAAGGCACCGATTATCGTGGATGTATGACGGTCATTAGGTGGGTTCAGAAATACCGCCCCGATTAACTAAGGAAGGTTATAATTAGGTTTGTAAGGAACGTAATTATAGAATTTCCTGTCGATACGAGCCATCCAATCAAAACAGATTTATCGTTTGGAATCCTCTACAACATGAACAGAGATCTACCAAAAGGCAGTCCTTTTCATCTTTGTACTGCCGAACTCCGTACAATAGACAACAATGTATCTAGATGAAACTTATTTGACTTCTTATCATGGACTTGACCTATAAAATTTGAAAATTCCTTCACATTTCATCTGTTAAATTTGTAAAGCATCCTATTTGATTCGCTCTTGTTCACATACTCTTCACCATTACATTCCGTTCTTAATATTTATCTTGCTGTTACCCAAGCTAACACTATATATATAAGGCTGGATATAAACTCAACCTCTGTTCAGAATTTTGGCAGTCTACTTAGCGACTGGTTAGAATGAGGCGGGGACTATCATTTCCGCCATCTTTGTGAGCAATGGCAGCCGGCTTTCCTCATTTTGTGTTCTTACGCTGGCTTTTTGGTGTCGCTACAAAATGTAATCCTCCAGTGTGCTGGAATTTCACAATTTATGTGATACTCTAATTTTTTTTAATCGGTTTTGTTTTCACCGTATTCGCTACTGCTACTCATGTCGGTGTATCCTTTCCGGCGTGCTTCTGTGCCTACATGATAAAATATTAATCTGTTTTGTATTGAGTACTATTTTATAGACATCAGAAACCAGAGTAAGCATTTTTCTAACCAAAATAAATGTTGCTGCCACCTGGGATTTTTTAACTGGTTGTATGTTCGTTCCTAAGTGTCATTTATAACGTTACTGAGAGCAGTGAAAGAAAACGACCTCCAGTTAGTTATGTTCTTCAGTATTATGGATAACCCTATCCAATCAACGAGTCATATATATATATATATATATATATATATATATATATATTTGCGACCAATAAAATTACTTTTTATCTTTATCAACTTCATTATTTTGTGTACCCCATTAATACAACTTTTCACATCTTATTTGTAGTTACGTATCATAGATTCTGCCACTTACTTATTTCTAGGCAGATCACACTTTTGTATCTCAGAATTATCAATTGTTTCTCCCAAAATAAATATTTGGAAAGTGTATAAAAGCATCCAAGGGAACAGATGGATTGTAATAAAACTTATTCATTAAGCTATGTGTTTGTCTATAGTAAGCAAACACTTGCGCTACATACCACGGTTATCGTACCTAAATTTTAACCCAATACGTTTCCTAAAACCGTCCAGACTATCCTGGGAGAACTGCACCATCATATCACATGATTTTGACAGATCTCGTTTCCTTATTGTGTGGTTTAGAAAATCGCTGTCTATATTTATTTATTTATTTGAACACATAAATATTGGTAAAATGGGGCACCAAATACATATGCGCTCAGTCTAATCTGAAAATTAGATCGATTATCTTTTCTCCATTATTTAACCTTTGACAAAGTTCACCAGCAAGTTCCCTAGTGGTATAAGACAATCCATTATATAAGTGCTCCGAAATGTTAAACTTGTTAGTCATTAGCCTATACTCCTGGGACATTAATTCAATAGACACTATGAACAAAAACATAGGTAAAAACAGCCTGGCTATCAGTTTTACCTCATTCCAAGTTTTTATCATGGATGCATGAAAAAATCGACGTTCAAATAAAATTGTCGAGAAACCAACTACACATTGCCGTTAAACCAAATCAAGGCTTTGTACTTAGCATAGACAAAATTTGTTTTGTTGGTAATCGGTTTTCCTGAAATACGAGGACTTCACAACTTAGCATAACTAAGAACGAGAGAATTTCTGGAAAGTAACAGTTTTTTAAAGCTTTATTAAAACAATAACGGTCTATTAGTTAGTCTAAATAAAAAGTAGACAAGCAAAGCAAGTAAGACAGAATCTTAGTCTCGGAATGAACTATTTTTACGTTGTCGTTACATTGATACCAAGCTGTTTCCAGGCAAATTCATACTCTCGTAATTCCTCGAATACCTTAAGAATATATTTGAACCTTGAAAGAGATATTAGCGCACCAGTCCAGTCCGATCTGGAAATTAGATTGATTATTATCTTCTCCTCATCATTTAATCTTTGACGAAGTTCACTAACAAGTTCTCTAACGGTACCAGACAATTCACTAAGTGATTTCTCAGAACGACTGGGATTCAAAACATCGCGAATCACCTCCTCAACCTTCTCCCTGATGTTCATTACTTCTGATAAAAACTCTGTATCATCCGATTTCTTGAAATCTACGTTATCAGTTGATACACCGTGAAGAAGAAGAAGATATTCATAACGTTCAACGGGCTTTTGTAGACAGCTATATGCTTTGTTTACATAGGCTGATGCATCTGAAGCAAGGTCTTTTTCATACTGTGTTTTGGCACTAAATTTGTCAGGGTGTAGCAATTTCTGGGTTTGTCGCATCCGATCTCCTAGATCGATTACATCTATCACAGGTTCTGGATTTGGATAACCAAGAACATCAAAATAAGACCAATTGGGACTAACCGGCTGCACTTTCCCACATTCACAAAAGAAAGATAGGTCTTTTACTAACCTGCTGCAGCTCCAGCATGTACGAAAACTTGACGCAGAGTTGTGAACATATGAAGTGACGTAGGGACAATTATGCCTACTTAAAGATACTGCGAGACGATTAGTATTGTACGAAAAATACTTGTGACAGTGACACGGAAATGCAAGACTACGGCATCTGCATAACTTTGAAAACTCTAAAAGCGTCAAGCAACTAAACAAACGTAACGGTAACGCAGACATCACAAAAAGCCGCCCTAAATGCTAGAATGTTGAGGTGATGTAGCTTATTATACTAGCTTCCCAAATAAAGGGAGAAAAGCGCAGTGATGCATTTTAACCGCC